ACAGACTCGTTTCCGAGTTTTCATCAAATGCTGAGGGCCTTTAAACTCAGTCTGCTTGCCTTTCGTCATTGACAAAAGAATATTAACTTTTCCTACTCTAGCCAAACATTTTCAGGGAGTCGCTTATTTTGATAGCAAACTAATATTAGAAAGCAAAAAATTCAGAGAAGCACACTTTTGAAATTTGAACGAAATCGGACAAAATAATAAGTTATGAATTTTTGAAAGTTGTAAGAGAACTTCAAATTGGCTAAATCGTTTTTGTCACTGTGATGTAGTGCCAAACAACCAATTTGTTCCAACAAACAAACTATATAATTATCTAAAATGTTTTTACGTTTTTTTTTTCTTCTTTTCCTTCAAAATGAAGGACACTTGGCGGTCTGAAATCATCTTGTTTGTAAATGTTGCGAGCGAGGAAGAAGGACTCTTAAATTATATATACTCTCGCGGTTTCTAACCTTCGGTTTTCCTGAAATCAACGTTATTATAATACTCCTTGCCCTTTAGAGTGGGACAAAATTGCATTTTAAAGTGAAAATGACACAAATAGATAATTTCCCTCTGTTTCATTTCCCATATACGTCTTCTATTTTTCACTCCTATCTTCATTTCTTTTTCTTCTCTGCTTTATACACTACATCAAGGACGCAGATCTGACCACCACAAAGCATTTTTTGATTTTGACCCCAAAATCGGTATCACTAGGGAGATATGAGTTTTTAAAGCTAACATCTCACTGTTATTACTGTACAACCTTCTCAACTATTTATATTAGTAGTGATCGGGTAGGCCCTATCGTGTCTTGTGTGATCTTTACGTCAACCATTTATACTCAGTCTGTTGTTTGAAACTATTAACAGAAATACTTATCCAGGAGTTTGCAGCATATTTCAATTACATGCAATGGTCGAATATAATATTCAATGGCGCCCTTCCAACAGAACTAGAGCATTTTGTAGAGCTACATTACATATTGATTTAGAATATGTCGTACGCTGTTAAACAAATGCTTATATTCAGTGTCTGTTATTACAACCTTGAAACTTTTGCAATCAACATAGTACCAAATGCTATTTTCCCAGGCAAACCAATAGTGCAATAAAGGCAGGCAGAATTGCTTACTTAATAACCCATATCTAGTATCTGCAAGCCCAAAACCTGACTACCAATCAGCTATCACTGTTTTATGGCTGTCAATTCATTAATCCAGAAGTTACTTATTTATTTATTTATTTATTTCGTTTTATTTCAACAGGGTAGCCCCATCAGTAGTTAAAATACTGTTATTCTTGGGGGCCCTGCATAACATAAAATACATATATAGACATAGACATACATATACATGAAAACATCATCACAAAGTCATGGTGAGTAGTAAACATACCAGAAAGAATTACAGATTAAATCTCAAATGTAAATTTAAACTCATCAAGTAAACAAACAAAAATCCACAAAAAAAAAATCAAGTCAATTAAAATCAAGTCATCAAGTAAATCATACATAAACAAATTTTGAAGAATAAAAAATATTATATTGAGGTGACAGGTGTCTAAACATAATTATTTGTAATTTGTAGGATATTTATGAGAAATACAGTGATCTGCAATTGGTAATTTACTAAATATTGAAGTTTGTCATAGAGGCTACAAATTTGCGAGTACTTGGGTTATATCTACATTTTTCTAAAATAACTGGTGCAAAATGACTGCTTAGTTTGTGCATTTCGTACCTTACTAGGGAGGTTGTTCCATTGTCATTGCACCCTCAAAGGAAAAGGCCTATCTACCATTTTCAGTTTTAACTTTGGGGATAACTAATCCACGAGTATCAGCGATTCTAGTGCTATAAAGATGTGTTGCTGCAGACTGAGTAAACATATCTTGAAGATATGAGGGGGAAATACCGTTTACAATATCGAACATAAGTTTACATTTCTGGAATTGCCAACGTTTTTCCATGTTCATCCACTTGAGTTTTGAGAACATTTCTGAACTTGGTGTAAGTACATTGATTTGGAGAACAATCCTAGCCATCTGTTTATGCAACTTTATCAGTGTATCCCGAAGACCTTGATTACAATTTGACCATGAGGTGCAGCAATAATCAAAATATGGTAATACCAGTGCATTTGCTAATAACTTGGCACTGTCTATCGTTAGATATTTTCTGATACGTCTCAACAGTGCCAACCTTGAAGCAATTTTGCTGGAAGTATATATGCTTCATGTGTTCATTCCAGTTAAGGTGCTGGTCCAACCACACCCCAAGATATTTCACATGTTCTGCCTGTCTAATTTGCAGACCATCTATCTTTATGTCGATTGGTACCTCGATATGTCGTAGTTTTTGGGGTGTCCCTACAAGTAAGAAGTTGGGCTTGTCCGTATTAAGGGATAGTTTATTATGGCAAAGCCATGATTTAACCCTGTCTAGATCACTATTCAATGTACTCTTCTTTGGGTTTCAGGCACTGAACATAATTGCCGTATCATCGGCATACAACATCACCTTACTATGTTCAACGCTATTGGGCAGATCATTCATAAAGAGGGTGAACAGCAGGGGTCCGAGTAAAGAACCTTGAGGTACTCCTGACTGGAGAACCTGTAGATCAGATCTTGCCCTTTGCACCAATGTGCACTGATAACGACCTCTTAGTTTATTACCACGTACACCAGCCTCTCGAGCAACTTGCTATGGTCAACGGAATCAAAGGCCTTCCGTATATCTAAAAATACAATCCCTGTTAATTTACCACTATCAATATTCCTGTGCAGGTTATCGCTAACATAATGTCAATAAGGTATTCGTTGAGTAACCTTTTCGGAAACCTGACTGTTGAGCATTAAGCAAGTCAAACTCTAACAAAATGAAGCTGGGAGTGCACAGCCTTTTCCAACACCCGGTTCATGATTGTTGGTAGGATCGATATTGGGCGATAGTCTGTTGTTCACATTGTCCTTGTCCCCGCCTTTATGGATGGGGGTAACCCTTGCTTGTTTCCATTCTTGAGGGACTACTCCCAATCTCAGAGATAGACTAAACAATCTGGTAATTGGTTTGCTAATGATAGGAGCAGCTAGCTTCAGCAGCCTGGCACTGATTCCATCTAAGCCGGTTGCCTTATCAATTTTAATGGATTGTAACTCTTTAAGCACAAAATCTTCTTGCACATCAACAAATGAAAAGCAATTATGACATGATTCGGGTCCATCATCAGAAGTGGGTGTACATTCTGTAGGGGGTATCTGGAAGCAAGTTCACTCCCGATCGACACAAAGAACTGATTAAATTAATGCATTAGCCAGTTTAAGAGGTTCGGCCTCGGGACAATCTTCTAGGTTTAAGCTAGTGGGTACACTATGTTGAGTTTGGGGCAATTCTTGAGAACTTTCCATAATTCAGAAGGATTGTTCTTGTTAGATACAATCTGCTGATAGCAGTATGCTTTCTTGAGGGTGGTTCTTAGGTTGTTTATATGATTTCGACAAGCTCTAAAGTATCTCCAATCTTGTGGGTGCATGGCTAGAGTTTTCGGCCCTTTTTCTGAGTTTGTCTCGCTCATAAGACAATCTGACAAACTCGGGGGTAACCCAGGGTGTCTTTATACCCCTTATTCTCAATGAAACAACTAGGGCATGCCTGTTACATATCTCAATAAAATGTATTTTTCCACCTATTCCACTCCGATTCTACATCTTCTTCCTGAACTTAAGATTCTAAATGGGCATTTTGTAATGCCAGGCGAAATAATTCGACATTCAAACGTTTAAAGACCGTCACCACTACTGGGCCAGAAGGGATTAGACCACACAGAGAGCCATCAAGGTCACTGTGACAGGTGGCTATCTCATTAACTCAGCTCTCATTTAACATAAGAAAAAGAGGATCATGGGGGACCAACAGGCACCGATTCGAGAAGTTTTCTACAAGAGAGGGAGCAAGTAGCTACAAGTATGGCAGTGTGCCTTTAAAAGCCCTTGTCCGTATAACTCTTGGTGATGGTGCTTTTGGTCTACATAAACCAGTCTATGGTCACTCAAGCCATGAGAAATCACATTCTTCTCACGTATGTTACAATCATGGGCGGTTTGTAACTACTATTACTATTATTATCATCACCACAATCATTGCTTTAACTATCAATTTTTAGAGCGAATGGTTATCAAATAGCTTGAAACTACTATCATTTCTTACCTCTGTTTGTTAAAAAGAATATAATTCACTCAACAAAGAACCCAAAATCTGTCACAGATTGGTATTAACGACTTATAAGAAAACATACATTTCCATTATACGATAATCAATAACTAGAGGATTGAGGAAACGTATACTCTAATAAGCAGTTTGGCATGTTTTTTTTTAAATATAAATTGAATCTCAGATAACCATATATGATGAAGATACTCTTTTCACCTTTATGCTCATTATACTGATCCTATTTAACATTTATTACTTAAAGACAAAATTATAATGGAGATTTTTATCATTTACCTTGTTAGAAGAATAAAAGATAACGAGATTATATAGCCAGCTAAACCAGGGATATTTACGAACAGTAAACATTAAGAGTCATTTTTAGTGTACAAGTTTAATGCTCAGAATATGAAATCAAATCATGTCTTTGCTTTATCATAATCTGTTGTTAGACGAGCATTCACATAATAATAGGATAATATCGATCTCGAGCAAACTTTCTCTGTATTATCTCATGTTCATCTTCCTTGCCCTCGGTCTCATGCACCTTTTTCTTTTGGCCATTCGTGCAAATGTACACAGTGGAGGAACATGTGCTAGTTTCATGAGATGGCTCTATTTTTGCGCCAATATGAATATCCGATTTTTGAAACATTGGTTTGAACAATTATTTGCAATTATTGTAACAGCTGTCTTGGAATTGAGACAACGCATATTAAACAGAAGTAGGCCTACCGGGTTGGAAGAATTTGGTCTCGAATTGCAATGCCGTACGCGTATGCCGATTGACCATGCATGATGACGAGATGTGCAACGTACTTGTAAATAGAGCTTGTACACCAATATCGACGGTCCTTCTTCGCTTCTGTTCTTATCATTTGACACTTCGTTAGTTAATCCTGTCAATCACTGTTTTTGTTGGTGAGTACGAATTAACATTAAAATAAATGATGAAATTTGCTGATTTGTTTGGCACACATCCCGGTACTAGCTGGATCGCTAGTTACTTGCTGCAAGTAATCGAATATGTCCGTGGTACCATTACGTCTATGGTGGTACGTGGTCCAAGTTGACGTGGTCGCATACTTCCTATTCGCCCGGCCGATAGCGTAGGGGACGGAGACGGGGATGCGACGGGTAGCTCAGCTCGGAGGTGGAAGACTTGGAGTGCTGTGTTTGGCTATCATTTTCAGTCCACAATAAACCAGAAGCTGGGGAAACAGAATTGATCAGGAAGATTAGAGGTAGAAGATTAACTAGCAGACTAGATGATAGAATAGATCATTGATAAGGAAGAATACAATGAGGGAGAGAGAAAGTAAGATTAGAAGAAGAAGAACTAACTAAGTAAGTAAGACCAGAACTAGACCGAAAGCTTCAGTCTCTATATCGTCGGTTGTTCCACTGAGACTACGTCTGGCTCCACTAGACCTCCTGATATAGAGACTGAACGATCGCCTATGCCATCGTACGTTGAAGATATCACGGCTAGATTTTAGCCGTTAGGCCCCTCCCACAAACATGACAAACTTGAGGAAAAATACATCATTTATCTTCAATTGCAGTAATTTTCTAGGCAATTGTCAGTCCCTAAAAGTTCCCTTTTTACCCCCCTCCCCACGAAATAGAAATATAAAAGAAATAAAAGGACTTACCGAACTTTTGGCTGCTTCTCGATGACCCACGTACGTCAAGCATTCTGACCGACAGAAATCAAAATGGTGGCTAATGAATATTCAATGACCACGCCTCAGCTAGCTCCTCCGCGCGTCACGTCGAGGATAGCGTGCGCACGTGAAGCAGACAACACGAGAACTCAAACGTAAGTAGCAGCAGCGTGATGTACATGTACGTGCACGTACGTGCACGTCTATGAATGAGGTCAATGGGGTGGAGACTAAAAAACTTTGGCATGAATATTCATTACTTTGATTCAAGATGGCTGATGTCTGAAGACAGTCAAGTGGAAGAGATAATAACACTTTTTTGAAGAAGATTTCATATGCAGAGGTCCAAGGTACATATTTTCTTAATGTTTATCATGTGTTGTTTAATTCTAAATGCCAATTGTATATGTTAGTGCATGCGATTCTTACAAAAAAAGGATTTAACTTAGCGTCAGGGCAGTATCGTCTTATCGTATACCCGTAGAGTGTATCTTCAACGTACGATGGCATAGGCGATCGTTCAGTCTCTATATCCGGAGGTCTAGTGGAGCCAGACGTAGTCTCAGTGGAACAACCGACGATATAGAGACTAAAGCTTTCGGTCTAGATCAGAACTAGACCAGAGACTAGTAGTAATCTGGGCGCTTGTTCAGAAGCCTATCCAAAATTTGACCCATAACTCAGGCGTGGAGATACCCTACAAACATACCCTAAATCAAGTAAATATTCATTAAAAGTTGTTATGTTTTTTACCTGTTTCATGTCAGTTTTCTTCTTTTTTTTTAGAGTATTTTTCTGGAAAAAATGATAGATAGGCCTACACTTTTTCACAGGTTTCACGGCAAATGCAAACCGCTGCACAATACAAGTGCATACCGATGGTGGGTTGCGGGCGGGTGGGCGCGCGCGCCTGTGTGAAGTTTACTACCATAATGAGAATCTGAGACATTACGGTCTGTGAAAAGGTGTATACTAATATCAACGTTTATCAAAAAAATGCTCCAAAAACATCAAGAAAGTTGACACAAAAGTTTGAAGAAACAGGTAATAAAGTAAACATAACGACTTTAACTCATGTTCTTTATTTGGACATTTAATGAATATTTACTTCATTTTGGGTATGTTTTAACAGGGTGACCTGTGAAAAAGTGTAGGCCTATCTATCATTTTTTCCAGAAAAATACTCAAAAAAAAACAAGAAAACTGACATGAAACAGGTAATAAACATTACAACTTTTAATGAATATTTACTTCATTTAGGGTATGTTTTGTAGGGTATCTCCACGCCAGAGTTACGAGTCAAATTTTGGATAGGCTTCTGAACAAGCACCGTAAAAAATATAGACTACCGATATATGTATAATCTAGGTCTAGATCTAGTAAGACTAGAGTAGATTCTAGAGATAAACAGAAGAGAATATTATAGGGGAAAGAAATTGGAGGGAGATGAAGGATAATAGTCTATGTGCGTCTTATCTGGTTATCACAAATATTGAGAATCTTAGGTTCTGGAGGCTTTTTTAATTACTTCTTTTTTCTTTTTAAAAGTTTTTCCTTTGGAATATATTCATTATTTACCTTGTGCAGAAAATGAATGCAGTGATAGCCCTCTGTCACTTCTGTGAGATTCACGGCCCTCGAGTCCTCTTCTGCACACAAGCCCACCACGCTGCGGAACCTCAGCATGTCTTAGACAGCAAGGGAGAGGAGTACCCCTCAACTTTTGGACATCACTTCCACAAACGCCCTCGTTCATCCACAAACGAGTCTTTGTCTTCCGTAAGCAGTGATCTCACAACATGCTCATCAGCGTCCTCTACAGAGCACTGTGAGGTGAGGGATGTTAGGAATGGGTTGCATTAAATGAAGCAAGTTTTTATCAGGTTGTAATTTTAAAAGATTACAAGTATATGTTGATAATTTTTAACTTGTTTACACAACGACAGAGTATTACATTGCTTTCTCTCAATTTATCATGTTGATGTAGTCTGCACATAAGTTTTTCAATTAAATTTTGCTGATAAACCAATTTCTCTCTCTTACATCTAATATAAAAAGTGTACTACTTAAACATAATAATAAATTTATTATAAAAAAACTTAAGACAAAGTACAACTATCCCCCTGGCTACCCCTTTCTTTGTTTCTTTTGCTTTCTCTGGCTGCATATGAACAGGTACCACTAATGATAATACTGTTCAATACTAATTTTCTTTCTCTAAAACACAGATGGGATTTTGGATAAGGAAAATAAAGTAGAGAGATATTGGGAGAATATAGTACAATTAAAGCGATACTGAACAGAGTACCGGTAACTTTCTGCCCTAACATACAGTATATTGCACAGCACCATCTGATGGTCAACTTGACAACAGTGCGTAAACTGAAGGTACAGTAATTTCCATGTTGCAGACAGAGGACTTGATGTAAGAACCAGCAGCGAGTTACGGGACCATACTACCACAGCTGACCTGAGATGGCGCTAGAGGCGATTTTGCGGCAGTGCTTCTAGTACAGTATGGCTTTAATCTAAACATCCTCCTAATCTCACTCTCTATATCTATACAGGCATGTAGATCTTTCCAGCCAGGTCAGCCAGGGTTCATCAGTAACGACCATGAAGCCAAGATCAGTTACATCAGCTCACAGAATCCTGAGCATCCAGAGTTATTTACCATCATACGGCAAGCGTGCATCAGGAGTCTCAGCTGTGAGGCAAGTAACCATGCAAAAACTCTTCTCTCTGATATTTCTGTAAACACTTTGTGAAGAACCGGTTCATGAAATATGTCCAATGAATTGAAAGAACAGACCCCAAGTGTTGTCAGTTTTCAATTCAATATCAACAGTTATTATAGATAAAAATCCAGTTTACATCATAGATAAAATCATGTGAGATAGTATTTAAGGTGTAAGAATCATAAGTCAAACATAGCATAACATGAACATCCATGAATAAATATTAGCCGCGGATTTTATCATGACTCTGTTTGATCACTAGATGTTCAAATATCTTCTCTTTTTGTGTGTGTGTGTGTGTGTGTACTGTACTTCTTTTTACCTTAACCGGGAGAAGTCTCAAGGTATTTTTTATCATTGCTATGAATAATTTCAATTAATTGTAAGATACGCTCGGGCAAAGAGTCCAACATATTTCAACCCATACTTGTATCTTTTTTTTATCGTTGCTATGAATAATTTCAATTACCGGTAATTGTATTAGATACGGTCATGCAAAGAGTCCAACCTATTTCAATCCATACTTGTGTCTTGCAGAATTGCCAGGGTAGGGAAGGACCGATATTCTTCGGTGAAGATTACTACGGCTACACCCTAAGCTACATGTTCATCATCAAAGACACCCAAGCCAGGGGACTTCAGAGGGGATACAGTATCATTGTGGTCATGATGGACAAGATTTACCTGCTCAACTCCTGGCCGTTCCTCGTCAAACACATGAAGTCGCTCATCGATGAACTCAAGTCAAAATCCAATAAGGTACATAGAAATTTTACCATTAAGAACTGTTTTTAAATTCTGTCTACCAACCCTTTACCTAATGCAATCTAAAGCTTTGGAATGCATTTTGAAGTGGATAGAATTCTTTGCATATTTTGGGCAAAACTGTTAGCTATCACACATTATGAAAAATTGCTCGACAGATTTCGAAGTGCAAAATATTAATGTGTCAGGTATTCCTCTTTGAAAGTACTATCGTAAGACATGCATTGATATACTTTTGAAATTATTTATTCATTCATTCACTTATTGCAACCATAGGTTGGATACATTAACCCCTTCCATGCCACTAAGTTTAGAAATAATTATCAAAATTGAAATTTTAAGAGAGAGTGAGATTGTGAATTCTCTGTTACTATCTAAACATTGACATACAATCTAGTGTATTGGTACACAATGGGTTGCTTCCAGATATGATTTAAATTTAATGTTTTAAATACCTAAATAGTAAGTTAAATATTGAACTTTTTCTGTTGGTAATCTATCACTCTTTCAAAACCTGACACACCCAAACAGGTGTATGAGCAAGAGCAGACGCAGAGGAACCAGCGTGCAGAGCGTCTCCACAGAGAGTTCCTCTCCCCGGGGGACTTCTACCGGGGCGGGGTCAACAAGCCCTTCAGGGCGCTGGTGGTCTTGACCGGTGATGCCAATCTCTTCAAGTACCTTCACATGAGGTTCTCCTGGATCTTGAAGGCTGGAGGCAACAGGATAACAGAGAAGGTCCTGGAGGGACCTCCCTTAGAGGAAGCAGTTGATCTTGATGATGAGGAAGGTAAGTGGCCCTGTGATAACCATCTTGCATGTACAGTCAAACCTGTCTAAAGCAACTGCCCAAGGGAAACACAAAAAGTGGCCTTTGTAGACAGGTTCCTTTGGTACATGATTCAATGAGAAACCATTTTCAAGGGAAATGACAAATGTTGCCTTTGTAGACAGGTGGTCACTAGAGCAGGTTTGACAGTAGCACCTTCACATCTTTACAATGTATTCAAATATTATGATGGCTGTAGCCAAGCTGCCAAGTATGGCTCACGTATATCAGGTACCAATTTACACCAGGGAGGGGGGGGGGGGGGGAGGGGTGGCAAATGTAGATTTAATGTCTTGGCAGAGGACATTAATGCCGGGGAGGGATTTGAACCCTCAACTCAACAGCTAGATTGCTATGACAAATGTGCTCTCAGCCAATCAGATGCCATAATTTCAGTAGCTTATAACGGTAGCTTGTAACTTGTTATTGATATCAAGTTTTATGAAACAGGGCCCTGACTTGATACCATCTTTTCCCATTTCTAAACAGTTACTGAGGAAGGGTTCATCAAGGTTTCGACCAAGCCAGCTGTACCATCATCTCCTGAAAACCCCAGCCAGTCAGAAGGACACCAGTCAGAGGATGAGCTGGAAGGGGACGAGGGACCGGTCTTCTCCTCACTTCAGCATCTCAGAGCTGTAAGTTTTAACTCATTGAATACTGTACTTACAATACTTCAATTCAAATCAAGGTTTATGAGCCATAGATGCTGGAGACCAGAAGGCTTGTAGAAAGTCCATAAGGAAATGAAATGTCCAAAAGCGTTAAAGAAAATATTTTAAACAACGATGATGACAAAATTTCCTCAATTTTCGTTGATAAATAAAACTTTTTTGTTTTAATGTATAAAAATTGAATATAAAATAAAGTCATTAATGCTTAAAGGTGTAGTGTGCACCCCATTTATTTTTAACTGACTTGTTTGGCACAACAGGGGTGCTTACCCCCCCCCCCCCCCCCCCCCCATTTAGCATCCTTGATCTGCTACTGTCCAATGTGATTTTTGTTTTTAGAAAGGACTGCAGTTCAACTAGCAGTACATTCATCAACAAACTAATGTCTTTGAACACACAATAATAATACATTCCTTCCAATGTGATAATTATCTATTACCGGTATATGGCTACCCAATCAGTTGGTTGCCATGTACATCAACACCCTCTTATATGCATCTAATTGGCAGGTTCTGGGTAGTCTTAACTTCCATGATGTTGCATACAACGTTCTGATCGGAAACCAACTCATCGCCAGGGCTGACTGCAAGAGCACCCTCAAATCCCTCTTCAAAGTTCTCAAGGTACACCCGTACAAATCAAATAACATCAGTGCCTATTCTCTTGATTGTTGGTCCTAAATGCGTTTCAAAGAAGGGATTTTGTTGATATGTGCAGATCTAAAGATTAAGAAACGTGGTGTTATTACCTATTATTCATTGTTATATAGATTTATTTAAATGCTGTTCTCCCATGGGAAAGGGATATGCCAGAAAGGACGTATATAAATACTCCTTTTTTCCAAGAACTGGACGAGCATGGAACTCCCTCGACCAGCAGTCTGTAATAGCCACATCTGTTGAGAACTTCAGAAACACACTTTAGCATGCATCACCTGCCATACAAGTTAGCGACATGCGGAATACCGCACTGCTGACTCCAAATTCAGAAGGTTCAGAAGGTATGTTGTTTGTAGCCTTGCTGTCTGATTTCTGTTTTGTTTCCATGACGCAAGTATTCCTGTTAAGGCAGTTTGGTTGTGGTTGACTTAGGGAAAGACAGTCTTGTGCAGTTAGAAAGTCATGCCTCCTTGGAAGTACTGAATTTGACTCAAAAATATTCCTGATGCGATTTAAACACGGATAAATCTATGTGTCCTCAGGTGATCCTTCCGGCTGGGTGCTGCCGCATCATCAGCCACAGTCCCACCTATCAGGCTTCGTGGAAGTGCAACTTCCTGGGCCTGAGCACCGGCACCGAGCTCCCTGAACACCTGATCACCTCGGAGGTGTACCTTCTCCTGGACGTGATCAGTCCAGTCAACCTCAAACAGGACTCCAACAGGGTGGTGTCCAGGACGGCTGGACCCTTCAAGGGACACGGCATCTCCATCACCAGCAGCTCAGTCGTTCCCGATAAAGGTTGGTGATCATACCTGCAAACCCTTACGAAAAATCCGCTATATTCCGTTTTTCTGGATTTCTAGGACCTGAAAATCCGGAATATTCAGATTTTTTTGTTGTTTTTTTGTGTGGATTTTTTGTTGTTGTTGTGGTGTGTGTGCTAAAGCCAAATTAAGCTTGTTTTATCATGTCCTGCGATTTGAGAGTTCACGTATTGTGTGTGTTGAATGGCTGCATGATCTAGCTGCGAATTTGTATTTGCTTTTTGGTACAGATTTACCGCGTATTGCCAGTTACACTGCCGCTGCAAGTGCGATTTCTTATTTTTGAAGGCATACCATGCTAAAAATTCTGAATTCTTACTTTCAAATGTTGGCAGGAATGGGTGATGGGGGTTTGGATGAAGGATCTCAACGGTGGAATGTTTCATTAGTATGACACATGCTATGGCAACAGTGATCTGTAGTCAATTACGTTCACTATTAATCATGTAATGAGCTTCCTCCTTCCACCCAAAACTACGCCCCAATCTAACCAAAACCATAAACCATATTACAGCTTTAACCCTGTATTTTAGATGAACTAAACCTTGAATCAGACCATACTCATGCTATAAGTAATTTAATGTTAGATGGAGTGGGAGTTAAAGATTATGTCGAAAATATTGCCAATTCGTTGTTTTTATACTAAAACCTCACTTTTAGTCGATTTTAATTGACAAGTTTATATATGGCAACATCTTTTGTTCCCATTTTACTCTTTTCCCCCCCCCCCCCCCCCCATCCCCTCTCTCTCTCTCTTTCTCTTTCTCTCTCTACCTGTCCTCATCAGCTTGAGTTTGCCAAATAACCCGCTATTTTCAGAATCAGGATATCATCCTGAAGCTCAAAAAAGGTTTTCACCAGACCGATTTGTTCATCACAAACTAGCACTAACGAGCGCGAATTAGCCCGCTATTTCCCTAATAGCGGGATATTTTGGAAACAAGACCAAGCTTTCTAGGGATATTTTCTTGACCAAATATCCCCCTAATTGCAACTGTGGGCTGATGACCCAATTTAACTTGCTAATTTGCGATCGGGATAGTTAAAATAGCGGGTTATTTGGCAAACTTGAGCTGATGAGCCAAATAACCCGCTATTTTCAGACTCAGGATATCATCCTGAAGCTCAAAAAAGGTTTTCACCAGACCGATTTGTTCATCACAAACTAGCACTAACGAGCGCGAATTAGCCCGCTATTTCCCTAATAGCGGGATATTTTGGAAACAAGACCAAGCTTTCTAGGGATATTTTCTCGACCAAATATCCCGCTAATTGCAACTGTGGGCTGATGACCCAATTTAACTTGCTAATTTGCGATCGGGATAGTTTAAATAGCGGATTATTTGGCAAACTTGAGCTGATGAAGACAGGCCTGCTGTCTCTCTTTCCCTTTTACTTGATCTTCCCCTGGCTTTTTCCCCAACTGTCTCCTAATTTGAAGTCATATTTACTGATCATTAGTCAAGAATACCAAATGTATCTCTTGTGTTAAAGCTACAGTGTCCTACTTGCCTACTACTACTGTAGCCACTTGCTCCCTCTATATAGAAAACAATACCGGGTACCTAATCCGTGACCAACTTCTTTGGTAATAAAACATACCTGAAATTTGCTTGGCTTTCTCACCAATTTTATATCAGTTTGTATAAGACAATCATAAATCATTTGATGATGTTTCTTATGCCACACAGTTCCTACAATCATAAATCCTTTGATGATGTTTCTTATGACACACAGTGCCTACGATCCTATCAAGAATAGTGACGACACTGAACAACAGTGACCTGACCCCTGAGATTGTGGTGACTGTCCTCACTACACTCAAGGAGGAATGGATGAAGTAAGTCTTTTTTAATAATATTTTTTTCTTCTTCATAATGTGATAATACAGTGAAACCTGTCTATAAAGACCACCCAAGGGAGATGAGAAAGTGGTCTTTATATACAGGTGCCTATAGTACATGTTTCAATGAGAAACCATTTTCAAGGGAAACAACAAATGTGGTCTTTATAGACAGGTGGTCACTAAAGCAGGTTTGACTGTACTAACAATTTAGTTTGCCCAGGGAAACCACATCAGCCTCAATATTGTTCTGCCTGAGGGCCCTGTTATCATTATTACCTCAGCAATGTGCCAGGTACCCACTTACACCTGGGTGAAGAGTGGCAAATGTGGATTAATGTCTTGCCCAAATAAACGTTGGTGCTGGGGTTAGGATTCAACTCCTAAACCTTTGGATTGAGAATCAAGTGAAGGAACCACTATACCACGACTTATCATGTAGTTCCAGTGTCGGGTTTAAATTGAAGAAGTGGAATACCGGCCACTGAGAAAAGTCTTTTGAATAACAGGAGTTTTACTGACAAACAACGATAGGAAATTAGGACTTAAACAGTAGTGACTTGGAGATAAAATACTTCAATGTTACTTTGAATTATAGAACAAAGTGAGATTGAAATTATTGGTGTTAACTGTACCATAAGGAAACTATTGAAACACTTATCGCGTGGTCGAGTGGATATGTCACCGGACTGTCGATCACAAGGTCCATGGTTCGAGTCCCGCCGTGGTATTAATGTCCTTTTGCAAGACATTGATCTACATTTGCCACACTCAACCCAGGTGATGTAAATGGGTACCTGGCAGGAATTAATTCCTTATAAATGCTAGAGCGCCGTAATGGCAGCCGTCCTAAAGCCAGGGTAATAATCGGGAGCACCAGGAGTGTCAAGACTGACAGACATGAGCGCTATACAAGAACCCACTATCATTTTTATTGTTGATCAGATGCTGTTTTATTTCTGACTGACATTGAATTATCTCTCTAATTGATAGATTTGTGTATATTTTACTTTTCACTTTGCAGTAAAGTCAAGCTGCTATTCAAGTTCACAAGAGCAGGATCCCACACTGACGAAGACACGGAGAAGCTACTGAAGATCCTTCAAGCAAAGGTCGAGGACAAACCCCTCTTAAGATTCTGGATCACTGCACTCAGCTCACAGTACAGGTCACATCTACTCACTTCAATAATGGGAACAACGTGAATGTGGGCAGATGGGACTGCAGATTGCGCGGATGCTTGCCATAGAAATGAAATTGAGTTATGGTGGAGGGGGAGGGGGAGGAGGGTAGTTGAACTTTAAAATCCTGAACAAGGTCTATAAAAAGAATTTATAGGCTAGGAAACTTTTTTCTTTAAAAAACAATTAATATCCCATTAAATTATTTTTCTGAATTACGAAAAACAATGAGTCTTAAAATGTAACAACTTTTGGAGGCAATGTATTGGTAAGAAAATAAAAGGGTGGAATCAACATGTTTGAAGCGCTATGATGATCTCCTCATTGTGTGAGAGACAATGCCAACACTTGATCATGTAAACTATGATTTAAAACATATTGCATATTAATTACAGTATTAATTCGCTTAGGCTTCATATTCATTGTAATCTCTCATCAAATGTGAAGAGAGAACCAGCAACAACATATTATTACTCTGCTTCAATCGTGATATTGTAAGTAAAGAGTTTTACAATTTATGATGCCATTATTCAGCCATGGCCCCTTAATGTCTGGCACATTTTAATGTTTATCTCAAAGTCAGGTTACGAAATGTCAATCTTTGTGTCTGGGAAAGCCAAGGTAGAAATCAGACAGAAATGGAGATTTAATTTTTGAATACGGGTGAGCAGGCTTAAATCTGAAGAAAAAAAAGTTATGTAGCATCTTGATTCAAAACTTGTTTGAGAAAGAATTGAATTCATGTACTTACTACCGTACATACTTCAATTTTGACTGAAAAGCTATTATCCTATCAAATTTAATCCTTCCAATCTACGGCAAATGTTCCCCCAAAAGTGGGATATGAGCTGTGAAGATAAACAGCATTTTCTGCTTTTTTCCCATTTGTTGCCATCAAGTGGGCAGTCTTAATTATCACTTTTTTTCCCAATGATTTCAAGCAAAGGTCCACACATAACAGTTAAGATTGAATCAGGTAGATTGTGTTCAGCATTTTTGTTATTTATCATAGTTTACCCTGAACTTTTATTTTATAGATTAAACAGGCCTGCTGGTCGGGTTTGAAATATAGATCTCAAGTTTTGAACTTGAAAAAAAAAAAACACAGAGAAAGCTGTGCAATATCTTAAAGAGTACTGTATATTATTTGTATTTTTGTAATTAACAAGCCTCATTACACAGACTAGAGAATAGACTTGATGTTTTCTAAGTTAAGTATAGAGAAAACATGTAAAATATAAATAGACAGTAAGATTATATATAATAATAATAATAATAGTAGCATTTATAAAGGGCTTAATACTGATAAGGGGCTCTGGCATTCAAGGAATTTCTTACTACCTGGTACCCGCTTACCTCACCTTGGTTTGAGAGTGGCAAATGCAAATTAATATCTTGCCAAAGGACATTAGTGTTCCGGTGGGACTCGAACCGTGAACCGTGTCCACTGTGATCCACAGTCCAGTAACGTATCAACTAGACCACGACACCTCTTCATCTCATGACAGTAAATTTATATGGTTTTTAATAAAAGAGCCATTGGTATGTTTTTGATAAGAAGTTAATTTTTCTTTTTTCAAGTTCTCCATTATGGCAGATACAAACGTCTTAATCAGATGTGTGACCATGCAGCTAATGTGACAGTATTGTATGCTACAGATATTTGATTTAAATGTATACATGCTTTAAACAGAATCATTTTATAACAGTCATTTTTTGTTAAGTTTTTTTACTCAAGTTTCATGGAAATTATATACAGAGAAGTAGAGGGAAAAGGAAGAGAGAGTAGAGCTTGAGAGGGAGAGGGAGAGAGAGGGAGAGAGAGGGGGAGGTAGAGAGAGAGAGAGTGGAGGGAGAGCAAGAAAGACAAAGATGAAGAGAGAGAGTGAGAAGAGAGAGGAGGGGGGGGGGTAGGAAGAGAGAGGTAGAAGATATCAAGAGAGTGATGGGAGAGCAAGAGAGACAAAGGTGGGGAGGAAAGAGTGAGAAAAGGGAGAGAGTGGAGTGGAGGTAATATAGAGGGAAGGTAGAAAGAGAGGAAGAGAAATATGTTGTGCAGGTCAAAAGCTGCACTAGAAGTTGATTGTTCTACTCTGCAAATACATGATGACTGGAGTGGAGAGGGCTAGGAGTGGGAGCACAAGAAACAGAGGTGGAGAGGAAGGAGTGAGAAAGAGAGGAAAGAGATAAAGGGAAGGTAAAAAGACAGAGAGAAAGCTAGGTAGAAAAATATACTAGTTGTCGGTCACATGGGTTGTTAGTCTACGGGATGACCCCGCCATAGATGTTCACTGTTCCACCGTGTAAATTCCTCCATATTTCCCTTGTGTTCCTCTAGGCTCTAGATAACTTTTGTTTATATTGATTGGAATGCATGAAAGACAGATAGAGGGAGGACATCTAAATGAGATGAGAAGATAAGGTTATCATAACAGGCATCAGTACCTGTACTAAGCCATGTGTGGTAGGCCTATGGGAGAGGAGAGGGAGCCAATGGGGAAAATCCCGAGATGAATAGTTTGCAGGCACGAATCATAGACATAAAAAGAAACACTCGTTAGTCAAACTTAATATAAGTACATTACAATTCCTAACATTGCAGAGCTTTTTCACTGAGGCTGTTCCTGACACAACCATTGCCAACCCAATTATACTTGAGCTTTGCTCAAGCCACGATTTTGAAAGCGCCAAAAAAAATACCCCAGTCATTCTGACCACACATACGTCGGACCAACAACAGACGGACAATTAAAGCTATCCTAATGGCCTTGTTGGCTGTCGGTTTTTGAGTCAGTTTTGTAGTGTGACTGCATGGGTAGACTATCTATGTATTAAACCACTTCATGAAGCTTTATGAATTTACAGAAAGCATTCTGGGCAGCGTCTCACGAAACCGGCGTAAGTACAAGTTCACCGACATCCCACTGAAATGCATTGAAATGCATTGAAATGCTTGCATTAAGTTTAACACTTGTTTCAATGGGATGTCAGTGAACTTGTACTTATGACGGTTTCGTGAGTTGCTGCCCAGATCTCCTTCCCAGCATGATTTTTTTTTCTCTCAGTCATCATCCTTTCATATCCTTTATAGATCTTATTTTAATATATGATGGATTAATTTTGCCAGTTTATGTTGACCTTGGGTGATACCCTAAAGGTCCTTGAGCTCCTGCACTCAGTCATGAACATTGCAGGAGTGAGGTACCTTACAGGAAAGTATCATGTATTTGCAATAAGAGCCAAGATCTAGTAAATTACAAACCTTCCCTTCCCCTTCATACATGCAAATTATTCTTCACTTATATTATGATAAAGAATTTTAGGAAATATGAAACATTTTTATGCATTTTTTTTTTTTTTTTTTTTTTTTTTTTTTTGGGGGGGGGGGGGGGGGTTCAAATTGAAGTTCAATTTACTTTGTTATCTTTAAAGTCTAAAGCATGGCCTAAAGGAAGGAATATATATCACAGATGTGCTGTCAGTTAAGGTGTAAGAAGGGCAAGAACTCTGTGCTACATGATGAGTAAACCTTTTGTGACAATCACAGTCAGTGCCCTAAAGGTATACCAGATGCATGAGGTGTAAAAAAATAGCAAAAAGGAATTCATTTTCTTCCATGAACATTTTGCGCTTGATGCCAGGAATTAAACAAAAAAGGAATTTAAAAAAAAAGGAAACAATAGCTTCAAAATCCTTAAATTGGCAACACATGGAGAGGTTCAAAATCATTATTTTCAATCAAAATTGGCAATCATTTCCACTGTTTGTCAAACCTCCTATACATGGATATTTATTAACATATTACATTTATTATAATAATATCAATGAAAGAAATCTGTTGCCAATTTGAAGAAGAGCATGTGATCAATTTAGCCCCTTGAAATAAATTCTGTCCTGAAAGGGTTAACGCGCTTCTGACTCTGAGCAGAATATATGTGCAATATCAGACCAAGAGCACAAATGTTTACAAGACAGAGACATCAATAAATTTCCTTCCAACTCATCAACTTAAGGCGATCATAAATTGATCACTTAATTGTTTATTGAATTTATGAAGTACATGTACAACACAAACATTGCTCAGTCGACAAAAATATTCATACAAATATTTCTCTTATACATGAAATGAATTACACGCTGGTGGCAATACGCAGAATCTTTGTTACAGTATTAGAATGCTCTATTTGAATAAGACTGGAAGTACAAAATACATTACAAATATCATGAGTCAGCATTTCCAGTGCATTTCAAACTACATATAAAAGTATATTGATGGTGATAGTATGTGAAGGGCATTTTGTATAGATAAAATTATGATTTCTGGGAGGGGGTGCTGTTTATTGCATATATCTAGCACATATCAAGGATTCAATTTTTAAGATAACTTATATGTTGAATCAAATATATTACAAGCTAATGATAATTAAGGCATCAGGTTTAAAAGCCTGTGTACAAAAATGGAAGCAGTGGAGGGGGCACGAGGGGAGGGGGCAGGAGTCCTCAGCACTAATATCAATATCCTTTTTGTTTCCCTTTCGGAAAGATTTAACATATGGATGACTAGAATTGTATGGTATTTAGTTTAAATTAAATTACCTACTTACAACACAATTGCAAAGACTTTATAAAAAAACTCAATGGCAATTTCATTTTCAATACCCTATTTTACATAAGAAATCAAGTCAGGATTATGTAATGTAATATACTTTATTGTAATGTTCTTGTCTTTCAAGAAAAGATGGACAATGTTACTCAACTTGCCTGGCATTGATTTTTTCGAAAGTCTTTTGAAAACAATTTTTCTCACTTAGTACTTGATAATATTTCAGCCCAATGATGTTAATCTTTTCATACTGTGGATGCAAAATATTATGTAAAATGATATGATATGAAACCACACACACAAAGGTGAAGGAGAAATTACTAGAAGCCCTATTTTGGTATATGTACAGCATCTGTGCATATACAAAACTAAATTGTGATGAAAAACAAATTACACACGAAACATAAACAATTGATACACATATATACTAACATGTAAATAGAAAAAATATTTGGACATTTCAAATGTGACCTCAGATATATACATGTAGCTCCGGCCATTCAGAACACAAGTGTCTTCCCATACTTCCACTACATCATAAAGGACTGTTATAAAAGTGAGATTCAAGCCTATAAACAATTCCTTTGATGAATCCCAGTAAATTAAGTGAAGTATATCAATTTGAAAGCAATCTGGACAAGTTAGTATAATTCAGTAATTCAATTTATATTAGAAGACCATTATTTGAAATGTTAACACAGGTGGTATTGTAATTTCAGGTAGGGATTTTTAATATTATTACAGTTGCTTTGTGCCTGAAAATATCAGACATTTAGAATTTATTTTCTCATGATACATATTTTCCTTTTATCTCCTTTTAAGTGATAAAACATAATCTGCAATAATCTAAAGAAGAGAAATCTTTAAAAAAAAAAATCTGACTTAAAAAAGGGAACTGGTTTTCAGGTTAAAATTACCTTGAAACATTTTCAAAAGAAAGGATGTTCGATTGAATAACCTATTCAAACCGCTGATCTACTTCATACCAATATACAGTGTATACATTGCAAAAACCTGAGTGCAGACTAAGTCTTCCAATCTTCAAGTATAAATACCTTTCAAATTTACATTCCTAAGATATGTACATAAATAATTTTACATCCTTATATATAAAAAAGTATCAACATTCAGTTGCAGCTACAAATAATATCAACTGCGATATGTCAGCCTTCTCTACTATACACATTGCACACGTTTTCATTTTTCTACCTTTTGATTATAAACTTGATTTATATAAATTACATTTTTTTTGAAAATCTAAATAGATCCCATAACATCTTTCATAAATTGTAATAAAAATTACAAAATTTAGAATGAACTTGGTACGCTTTTTTTTAATTGCTTTTTCACAAGGTGAAATACAACGGATGACGCATATTGTGTTGGTTTTGTAAAGGGGATAACTAAGCTTTTGCTTCTTGTTTGTGAAAAGTCACTAAACATAGGTGAAAATGTAAGTAAATAAGTAAAATAATCAAATTAAATGCAATTAAATTATATTAAAAATGTATTTTAATAACCCCTCGCATATCGAAATAAATGTGCATTGAATGCATTGTTACCAATACATGATTGTCTTTTTCAAATCTCAAAAAGGAAAGTCATCGTGGTATTTCTGATTGCTAGGCTCTAATAATCTTACTTCAAATGACTTAGTTTATATAAATGAACGACTCTGACAAGACAAGCATTGGTGCCAATTTAAGCAATGATATCCTATGTACATGTACTTGAGTGCAAATACACTTTTCATGTCAAGTGTAAGGAGAATATAATAAAGAACTCATTTAATGTATATTCACATTTAAGCAGAAATTTTCTCTTTCTGATGTAAAAAGTTCATCGCATTAGTAATACTGTGATATTCAATATTCATGAAGCAAACTCTTTCAAAGTCTTGACCTTCAGCCTTGATAATGAAGCAGAATGCAGCCTTGAAGAATTAAAATGTCATTATTAACATAGACAGGTATGCACACACAAAATTCTCTTAAATAATTACTGTAGCTTTGGATGTCATCAACATTCAATCATTACCTTTAAAAAATTCCTGAAAAAAAACCTGAAAAATTCTTCATACAATCATAACCTTAAAATGCAAAACGGCATTACACAAACCAATACAAAAACCAATACAAAAACCAAACTAAGACGGAAAGCAAAATCACTGCCACTATCACTAAAAAAATACCTTTATCAAACAAAATTAGACTAACATATTAAAACAAATTAAAATTTTGAATATAAAAATGATTGTATGAACGAGCATACCTCCAGACTTACCTCTACAAACCTTCAGGTATTCATTTTTTCAACATTCCAATCCAATTTATAAAACAAGTCAGCTACTTCCATGCCCACCCACAAAAATGTATCATGTAACTATGTGACAAAGCTGCACTTATGATAAAATATTTCCACCAAAATTTGAACCCTCAGCCATGACCCGATATAGAAGTATATATTGTCTGTTCAGAGCCAGAAGGACGTTAACTCTGTTTCAAAGTATATGTATATGGGTTAACGCCCTTCTGGCTCCACAGATACAATATCTACAGGAGTGATTTTGGGTTATAAATATATATACAGTCAAACCTGCTTTAGCGTCAACCCGTCTATAAAGACCACATATTTTGTTACCCTTGAATATGGTTTCTCATTGAAACCTTTGGTAAAGGAACCTTTGGTATTAAAAGGAACCTGTACTTACAGACCACCTGTCTAACAGGACCACATAATATGTTTCCCTTGAGCGGTCTTTATAGACAGGTTTCACTACATAATTATATATATATATATTTATATTCCATTCAGTTATATATATTCCATGGAGTTATAAATATATATATGTACTCCATTCAGTTCAGCCTTGTGCTTGAGTTTGCACATGTACCTACTCAATACCCTAAATCAAAGCTAAGTATCATCACCAGCACTTTTCAGAAGTTCAGCTCAAGCAATCTCAAAACCCTATGTAAAGCTATGGTCACAAATCAGAGCAGCGACCGACCGATCAGTAGTCTGCTCGGTCGCTGCTGGAATTAGGCATCGCCCAGTGATTAGGTCGGTGCCCGGGCGGCGACCGCCCAGGCACCGAGCATATTGTGAAAAGTGTGAAAAGTGAGCAGGCGCCGCCCAAATTTTAACTCCGCGCTAAAACTTCAGCGGCGACCGAGCGATGCCCTAAAAACGAGCGGTGCCTGGGCGGCCGCCGCTCGGTGGCTGGGCAGCCGCCGGGCAGAATTGGTTAAAAACTCGCTGCTCGGCCGCCGAGCAGGCTACTTTTGGGTAATGTGACCATAGCATAAGCACCTCTTTTATTTGTGAATTTATGATTCCAGGTAGATTACATGAGAGGTTATGTAATTTTAGCATATCTCCATAAGCGATGTGCTATGCTATGCTATTTTGAAACAGGTTGATTTTCTGCTCTAAAGAAATTCTGTTATTTTATATTATCAACACATTTCAACAGGTACATTATGGTACATTATGACATGCTGATTTCCTGTGCTAAAGCAGTTTCAAATACTGTATTACAAAAAGCTATCACCTTCAAATTTATGTTTAAACTATGAAAGATTATGTCGTGTTAGCAAAGTGCAAGAGCTGATGTGCTATGCTTCATTATAATATGTTGAATTTTCCTTTTGCTATTAAGCAGTTTCAATTGATCACTTGTAAATTTTTTAAGTAGAATGACAAAAGATGGTATTTTAGGGTTACAACTGATCAATTGATAGGTGATGCACTAGGCTATTGTACATGTATAGTACCTTATGATAGGGAGAGTTTCAGCTCTTAAGTAGTTTGATTATTTCAAATGTAAAAGTCCCAGTGTTTGTTGAGTGTAAACATGTACGAGAGGTGACAATGTATTTCAATGATTGAGTCGGCAACGTACTAGGCTATCGTTCCTTACGATAAGTTGGATTTTCAGCAAAATGTTCACGGTTGGGTTTAAGCTATTGCACAAATATGTACATGTACAGTTCAAGAATGGATTTCTGTATGCTTTTTAACGACACGCAAAGTGATAAAAGAGATATAATTCACATCTTTCATAATCAGCCTGGTCTAATACTATACCCTGTGCGTGAACATTATAACACACACTATTCACATTATAAATGCATAGCATAATAAAACCATCAAAACAATATCATATGAGCATAGCCCTAATTCAGGTTACCGGTACATACTAACAAATACTGATACTTGGCAGTATGTACACAACTGATGGGTGAACAAGTGACTGGAAAGTGAAAAAGTGTTTGAACAAGAATTTCCAAGAGCCTTCTCTTTGAAAGTACAATACAACTTCTTATCCAAAACGTGACGGAAATCCATGAACATCCATCAGATTCCAACATCGATAATACGCACATAAAAAGGTATTTTCCTACTGAGTTTTGTGTGAATACAATTGATCAATTGAGGTACATGATTTCAAAGGAAAACAACAATTCAATATTTCGAAAGAGTTTGCTGACACTAAAGCTAAAGCTGAGGAGTAAAAATTAGGACTATGAAATCAACTAAAACAAATTTGCAGAATGTCATAAAGTCTCAAGGTACTTCAAAGAAATATTCTAGAATGAAAATGATTTACTACGATAGAAATATATTCCCACCTGCAATTTAAAATGTCTATAATTCAGAAAAAAACTAGATGGAATTCGACTGCGCGCAGTCGAAAATGATGCCTCCGTCATAGAGCAATTTTACAAACCAAAACAGAAGAAATTTTTCAAATTCAAGTTCAATTGTAATCCATTAACAGGTTCTCAGAATATCGTGATTACAAACAATTTCTCATATACATATATGACCCTTTGAACTTTGACCTCATGATCCTAATATCTACTCAGCTCATTGGCTCTGCAAGATATCCAGAGTTAAATAGTAATCCATCTGTCAGTTCTAATGAGAATGCGTTCACAAGCTATTTTTGCATACATAATGAGCCCATGACCTTGGACCTTATGAACCAAGAATCTACACAGTTCATTGGCTCTGCAAGATACATAAATGATCTAAGTTTGGCAGGAATCCATCAATCTGTTCTAATGATAACGCGATCACAAGCTGTTTTTGCATACATAATGGGCGCTGTGACCTTTGACCTTTGACCTCGTTACCCAAAATCTAATAAGTTCATCGGCTCTGCAAGTAACATACATGACCTAAGTTTGGCAGGAATCCATCAATCGGTTCTTGAGATAACGCGATCACAAGCTGTTTTTGCATACATAATGAGCCCTGTGACCTTTGACCTCGTGACCCCAAAATCTAATCAGTTCATTGGCTCTGCAAGATACATACATGACCAAAGTTTGGCAGGAATCCATCTATCGGTTCTTCAGATAACGCGATCACGAGCCGTTTTGCATACATAATGAGCCCTGTGACCTTTGACCTTTGACCTCGTGACCCCAAAATCTAATCAGTTCATCGACTCTACAAGATACATACATGACCAAAGTTTGGCAGGAATCTATCAATCGGTTCTTCAGATAACGCGATCACGAGCTGTTTTTGCATACATAATGAGCCCTGTGACCTTTGACCTTTGACCTCGTGACCCCAAAATCTAATCAGTTCATCGACTTTGCTAGATACATATATGATCAAAGTTTGGTAGGAATCCATCGATCCGTTCTTCAGATAACGTGATCACGAGAACGGGACGTACGTACAGACGTACGTACAGACGTACGGACGGACGGACGGACGGACGGACGGACGGACAACCCGAAAACATAATGCCTCCGGCTACTTCGTAACGGAGGCATAATTAGCTTTTAACTTCATTGTTTTCAATCTACATGATACTCTATTCTTTAAAATACAAAAAAGACTCTTCTCATTAATTTTTTTCTTCTGATATTCTAAAAAACTCTCTTCTGCATAGAAAAGACAAAACACAGACTAAAGTACTTTTAAGAAATATTACAGCATAAATAGACATAAACCTTATTTAATCCTATGATCATGAACCCATATAAGAATTGTAAGAGTGGTAGTCATGTCTCCTTCTTCCTCGAGGTCTACACATAAAGCGATAGAAGACGATCATCGCTATGACGATGATGAAGGCTGCGTACCTGTACAGCTGTCTGTAACGGGAGGGAAGCCATAGGAGAGTGTAGTGCAGGGTGCCGTCTGCATCTATTAAAGCAAGGAGGAAATAGAGACAAAAGAAACGCTTAAGGATGAAGTTGAGTTTTGGTCATGCGATTACATTGTGAAAGAAACGGTGTGGAATCGACTAGAAAAGGTTGATCATCTAGCATATAAGAATTTGTGTGTATTGCAAGGTTCTGGAACAATCAAAATGATAAGAAATTTGGCCAAGTCTTGGTAAAGTTACAAACACTGTACACAGAAAGATGTATATGGGACTACACAAACACGTGGCGTAAAAATCCTACCCTGGAGTTTTACGATGTTACATGACATATTTAGAATATGAAGGCATTTGAAGAGCCATACTTTTCAGGGAACATGTCTCATCTGATGTTCTTCCACACTTGCATGATAAGAATGATGATGCTCACAAATTATTTTTCACCTCTTCCCAGAACTCAACCTTCTCTTTAAAGGTAGTACTGGTGGCCCCATTGTTAGGAGAAAAAAATCATTGAAACAGTCTTTGTAGTAATGTAAAACCAGAAGCACTAGCATGCATGAAATGCTCGTGAATTTAGTGAGAGGCTCATTGTAATAAATAATTGAATCACAATTGACTGTTTTTGCAATTCTCAGAAGTGTTTTGCCGTAGAAATATAGCAATCTTTAACCAGCTGCGAAATTTTTCCAGTTTTACAGTAGTGATACATGTACTTAATGGTCCATGATTTCACTTGATATCAATTTGTCACATTCTTTTTGAACTTTTGCGATTGGGAATTCTATTTCAATAGAATGATTTGATTTGATTTATGTACCATTCCTTACATCCATCTGCCAACTGTATTCAATTTTGAGCCAGAACTTTAAAAGCAGTTAGCACAGCACGCAGCAATGCAGAATCATTACAGCATTTCTTCATGTTGCCAATAAGCAGACATCTTTTATCAACTTGACAAAATGCCACAATAAACCAAAAACTGCTCACTATTTTATTGCTATGACAACAGCACTTTATGAGTAATCAGCACACAATGCATGTGACGAACACAACACACAACATGAAGGAAGATTAGTGCAATGCAACAGAAACTGTTGTGCTAAAAGAAAGTGTGGCTGACGGAGGAAATGAATCATTCACCATTCCCATTTTTGTTGTAATACTGTTCAATGATGTGAATTATGTGATGATGATGTTAATTATTTCATGTTTTTCTTTTTAAAACAAGAAGAAACTCCTGTCAAAATTCCCATTACGTCACTAATATTTGCCTACTGTAAACACATCTCCTACTCAACAAAATATTACATCTTAGAAAGTGACTTTTCCATAAAACAGCCAAGGATTTTGCATGTTCATGAAATGCAAACCTACAGAAATAGCATGACAAAAGTTCTTAATATTTGTATATCATTTAGGAAATAATTTTGAAACAACAAATGTCTGTGCTACACAATTATTGTCATTTGTCAGAAAAGAGAGAAGTAAATGCATATTCAGATATTTACGTGTATCCCTATGCACTGTAATCATAAAGTAAACATCTACATAAAAAGGCGCTTTATTATAAGAGTAATATTATTAATATATACTGTATATGCAATACATCATTCAATGTAAACCACTCCTACACCAAAATAATATTCAAATTACTGGGGTCCTGCATGCACACAGACCCCCCCCCCCTAATACATACAACAACAAAAAAGTTTAAATCATTCTTATTATTCTTTTTCCTTGCTTGTCAAAATTATTCTTAAACCGAGCCCTCGACCTCCCGCCCTCCTGCCCTCCCCCTTCCTTTAACAGAATCCTCAATCTGTCACTGCTTTGATGCCTATTTTTCGATCCTAACTTTCACACCATCACTTCTGCCTGTAATCAAGCCACTGTCCCATCACCATCAATATCAATCATCTATTAATAGCAACCTGCCTACATGATGTCACCGTCAATCGAAAGTCCAATATCTCAAACACCTTTCAGTATCCACAAGAATTTAACACACCTCTCATGGTTTAACATTGGTAAGGTCATGGAAAACTATGCCAGGAAAACAAACTATATCTTGCATTATTACGCTGTTACATGCACATTGCCTATCCTGCATACAAAATTATGCACAAGAGGGGGAGAATCATTTATCTCTGGAAAAAATAAAGAGATGATCATTTTTTTTTAAACAGATGTGCTAACTTTCCCTCTCCATTTCATTGTTGCCTTTGTTTCATGCCTTTTCTCCAATGTTTCTTTTTCTAAAACATTATCATGCAATGTTCAAGTTAACAATTTCTTCCACTATACAAACATATTTATAATCCAAGATATTTGTAGCAAAGACAAAAGAAAGTCCAAAAGGTCAAGTTGATCTTCGTTCGCAACCTTTCAATCAACAAAGGTTTTTTATATTGGGTTTAACATTTAATCAGGCAATTTCATTTTTCCTTATGATAAACGTTTAGGAGGCCTGCAATTTCAATAAATCTTATCTTTATCAAATTTTTATATAATTTCTATGACTAGACTTAATACAGCTGCGTTTTACAATATATTGATATTAAATACTCCATGAAACAATGTGATACCTTCTGTTATTACTGATTGATTGATTCTGAACCAATTTCTCAGAAGCAATCACAAAGAATATCACAATTCATAATCTTTCTATGGCAATTTTTCTAACAAGATCAAATTTATCTATTAATTATATGAAGCTTTAATGTATTTTTTTTCCATTCCCTTCCTCCAAACTTCATACAAAATCAGCACATCACCTTTTACAAAAACCCACTCTAGCTGTAAATACCCAAATCTACGTCAGCTCCCGAAATGCCCCCCTTTCACAATATCTGATGTCTCTATTCCGCTAAACTCACAGGTAATGGCATAATCAGCATCCTCTCTCTCACGAGTCATTTATCAACCCCCACTCCAAACCTGTCTGGGCCGTCTACCCTCGTTATCCAGACACGCCCCCGGGGGCTAGAGAAGTGGAACGTGAAAGGTAACCCTACATGTAAGTGGTATCATTGACCTAGTTATGCTCTCAATCCTGATGTGTATGGTGGGCATCATGTCGAAGCTGGATAAATTTCTTTCTTCTCAACAGGGGAAGGACAGGCTTTTAATGTTTCTGTCAATTTTCCTAAATAGCTCTCTTTCTCTCTTCCCCAATCACATACGTGTACCGGTACCTTTCTCTCTCTCTTTTCTCTCCCACTTCTCTATCTCCCTCTGTCTCCCTCGATGTCTGTCTGTCTGCATGTGTGTGATTGTCTGCGTGTGTGTGTGTGTGTGTCTCTCTCTCTCTTCCTCTTTTTGAATATCTGCCAGTCTCTGCCTCTCGCTCTCTCTCTCTATCTTGCTCTCTCTCTCTCTCTCTTGTTCTCTCTGTGCCAATAACTCCACCCCTCACCGATATTTTATCCCCATCTCTGTCTCCCTCCGTCTGACACTATTTGACACTCTCTTTAGTACCTTGCTTCCTATCTGATGAATACGTATTTTGTCCACTGTATGTACAGTTAGCATCTAGAGTAGGCAGTTCATATCACTTTATTATCAGTTTTTATCAAATGAATGTGGTTTCAAGTAACAAAATATCCTCTCATTTTCCCAACAAAAATGTTTCTTATTCTTCATTCCTTTTTGTTTAACTTTGTCTTGTTATGTTTTGCTTCTTCATTTTCATTTGTTTATCTTTATTTGTTAGTTAAAAGGGGATGGGGTGGCAGAGGGGGAAGCTACTCACCTATTACAGCGGCCGCATACGCCATATTGGGTACCCCCATGCGATAGCTACAGGTTGGTATCCTGTACTCCTCCATGAAGATGTCCTCCTTGATGCGATCCAACGAGCTGTCTCGAGGATACACCTTCTTGAAGAAGTCCACCAGCTGCAGTAGGTTGTGCTTCATGTAACTAGACTGTAGTGGGATTGAGATATGGAAGCAGAAAATGTTACTTGTTCTCTCACCCACCTTAAAGGTATAGACCAGTTTTGGAAACACCCCCTCAAGAAAATGAAATGGAAGCTCTTATTACCAATCATGTGAAAGAATATGTTTTGACTAATATGTGATGATAAAAATTTTGCCGGGAAACAGCCTATTATTTGATATATTTGGTAAATTATTATATCTATTCAGACTGGATATTAGATATCGTGTAGTCCCATATTCATCTTTCTGTGTACAGCGCTTGTAACTTTACCAAGACTGGGCCAAGTTTCTTTCACAATGCAATCGGATGACCAGAACTGGTCTATACCTTTAAAGTTATCAAGTGATAAAATACAGTGTATAATGTCTGTTGAAAACCAGAATAGCATTGACTCCATGGTTTAGTTAAGTCCATTCTCCCTCATAGCAATAATTAATATCTTGTTTATTACATGGTGGTCGTTTGGCACTAGAGTAAAATTACTTGACTCTCAATTAGGGAGCCCAGATTTGGAATACTAGCCTGCTGCTTACATCCTATTAAAGACGAAGCACTTTCTCTACAGTTGCCTCTCTTTATACCCAGGAGTAGTAAAGGGAGACCAACTAGGAAACAATGCTGTGAGTTCAATGATGGTATCTTGTCTAAAGCCATATTGTAGAAGTGCCACTTGCATCACTACTAAAATATGACAGTACTAAATGGGATAAAACTCACACAGGGAGAAACAATGCTTGTCCTCATTTTTTCAACACCCTGCCACATATAAATGTTGAACTCCTCAATATTAGTTCCCTGAGGGCTACTTTAAAATATGTATTTGCACGACCCGGAGCCTAATGTACTAATTATCATTCAATAATCATTTTGTCTGTTCATAGCCAGAAGGGCGTTAAGTCCAAGTTTAATTATATGAGTTAATGCCCTTCTGGCTCCAAACGAATGATTTGTGACTAGGCATTTCCCTCAGGCTACATATATGCCATTTGCTAATTAATATCTGTACAACAAATTTTGACATGGAAGAGCCATTAACTAGTGCATAGAAAGTAAATTTGTCATTAAAAACTTTACATTAGCTCCACTCTATGGTTCAATCATTTTGTGCATCTGTTTTAGCCGATTACACGGGGGAGGCTGCATAAGACTCTGAATCCAATTGTAGGTTTCAATTTTTTACTATTCGTGTCTGATGTCAATTAATATGAATTACGCTTATGCTGATTTTATAGCCTACATCAAATGCGAATTGCACTATAATACAAATAAAGGAAGTGGTGAGTTAAAAAGAGCTACTTTGACTAAAATAGTCCCAGATTATAACTGACTACAATTATTTTAATTTTGGTTTATACAATTTGGAGTTAAAAGATATACCGGTAGTCAAAGTTTGCCTTTGACTTTCTAAAAAACATTTTCAGATGTTATTAAATTAGATTGTTCATTATTACTTCAACTAATTGAATGCATACAAAAATCAGGGCAAAATTAAGAGGATATATTTGAAAAATAAAACAATATCCGAAGTCCCAGGTACATGTATAATATTTTCCATTAGTTACCAACATTTAATCTATAAAATATACTGCTGTAAACAGATGAATTATGTATAACAACTTTTAATGAAGATTACATTTTCTAGTACCTCAAGACAATTAAACGTGATTTCACTAATGGATATGTCATGAACTTTGACAATTCTAAGTCTGTGACACCAGATAAAAACTGAAAACTACTATTACCAAGGCAACAGCATGAACATCCATCTTATAGTTGACTTATAATCCATGCCTTGAAGTTAAAAAAACCGTCAAAAATGGTATTCATAATCCTATAAATTTGTTTGCAGTACTTTGCTCAATAAAAATGGTGCATAATTGATAACAATAATGAAAGTAAGCTTCATAAAATGGTATTAATTTTAGAACAAACTTCTTCTCTTAGTGTGAAGAATACGGCTAAGTTTCCTCCAAGCCTTCTAATGGAATTCTGCCTCCATTAAATCACAGCCATGGAGAAAATGGCCATTAAAAAAGAAAAACCAGCCATTAAATATGACTTTAAAGGGATAGTTGAGTTCTGTTTTAAGACCGCAAATGCCTTCAAAGTGCATGGTTATTGCTCTTATTCTTATTTATGACATTTCTAGTGCCCTTTTAGAACCTAAAACTGCTATGAAGGTAATTTGTAGACGCCAAAATGTGTGAAATTTAGCCCATACACTCATACCAATTCAGGTCCACTTTCAAAAAAATATGGTGACCGTTAATTAATTATTTGATTAAAAATAACAATACATGGGCCGGCTGGTTGTGTGTAATATATCCAACACGAAAATGCAAACAAAAAAGCCACCATCGGCATTGGCTGAAATACGACGTAAAAGGGGCTATTTTGTTTTTTCAATGGCTTTTTCAAATTATCTAATATTTGTGGTGGTACACAAGTATTAGAAATCGTTATATTTATGGATATTTCAGCCGTCTCTGAACTGATTTTAATCAAACAAAGATGATTTTGTCTTTTAAAATGTATGTTCTTTCAAATTTGACACTCAGTTTTTCATTATCTCACAAAACAAATTAGTTTGTGTAGCACCCTCTGCAACAGAACTCAACTATTAATGAAATTCATGTACCTAATTTGTGAAAAAGGAGCTGAGTAATACCTCACAGCTTATAAGTTGGAAACCGTGACTTGGGGAAATCAATTTTACTTTCTAATTATTTTGGAATTTTTCGTTCTTGTTAATGTACAGCTTTCATACACTGCATGAGATCATTTGATAAAATACAAGATGTGTCTCGCTTCTGAGTCAAAGATGAGGGAAAACCCATATCTTTTTAAAAAACAAACTAAATTATATTTTGTGACTAGCACAACTTCATCTCAAGTACATGCAGCAATGCATAACCCTAACATACAGTTCAATATTGTAGTTTGTAAAACATTTTATTTTAAGTCAATGAATCCTAAAAAACAGTCTCTATCCCATCAATCTGTAAAATGTTCAAGACAAAAAGAAATAGATAGAATGTCTCCTGCAAAGGTAATGTCAAAAAGCAACTGTGCCTTGCCTTTCTAATTTGCAAGCTTAGCCCCCAATACATAAGGCGTGTCTGCACTATCTCGAGATTGCCAAATATCCAGCTATTTGAACTATCCCGATCGCAAACTATCCAGCCAATTTGCGTCTTCACTAGAACGAAGTAGCAAATTAGCTGGATAGTTGGTCGGGATAATATCCCAAGATATCTCAGTCTAGTTTGCAAAATATCCCACTATTTCCGAACTAGCGGGATAGTTTGCGACCGTCTTCATTAGACCGAAGTACGGAGTCAAATATCCCGATCCCATCATGCACACCGATTTCCGGTTTTCCGTGTTAACTAGTTGTACTAGCACACGCACATGCGATCTATACCGCTCAGCGGTGCATGATGGGATCGGGATATTTGACTCCGTACTTCGGTCTAATGAAGACGGTCGCGAACTATCCCGCTAGTTCGGAAATAGTGGGATATTTTGCAAACTAGACCGAAATATCTTGAGATATTATCCCGACCAACTATCCAGCTAATTTGCTACTTCGTTCTAATGAAGACGCAATTAGCTGGATAGTTTGCAATCGGGATAGTTCAAATAGCTGGATATTTGGCAATCTCGAGATAGTGAAGACGGGCCTATACAGGCAACTTGCTCAGATCTAAACTATACACATTACAAATTCCAGGAAGGCATACTTACATAATGTGAATGGGCACTAAAGGCATACTTGGGTTTCAGCACTCGCATAATCTGAAAAAATGAACAAAAATTCAAAGTTATGGGTAGAGGTTAAAAGACTTTAGACCTCATATGGCATAATTTAGCTCTTGACAATTAGAGCAAAGAGTTGGTAACTACATACAGTAAAGACAGATGGGTACACATATTGGAATGACAGGGTTTGATTCACCCCCACAGCAGTCCTAATATCAATCTTGTGTATGATAACCTGCAAGTTAACTGCAGCAAATAGTGTCTTCTTCAAATGGTTATTTAATATTTTGAGGGCTATTCATCCAAAGTTTTGAGACATCAAAAATCGATAAAAACAATAAATGTGACAACATCCTCTTGAAATAATATTTCAATGTAGTTTTAACATATTCTCCATAATTTACAAATCATATGCAGAACATGAGGAAGTTCACAGGAAGAAATCTACCCTTTCAATAAACTTAGTAATTTTCTACTTGGAAACAATTAATATCTTCATAAAGCAGCCTGTTGTACAATTTACATGTAGATGTCTGCATAATTTAAACCTTTTTTTTTCTTCATCTCTTAAAAATGAATTTTCATGTCATTTTCGCACTTTCCACATTCTTCATTTATAAATGACAAGCAGAACACAATGATAATTCACAAGAGTACAGCTTCTCTCTTAAGGCCCGGTCACACAGCCCTTTACGGGCGTATCGCGGCCGAATCACGGCCAAAAATTTCTGCCCGTGAAGCAGACGCTGTTGGACGCTTTGAGGTCGCGATACAGACGCGATACAGCCGTACTTTACCCGTCGTTACACGCGGTAAGAAATTCACACGCGGTTGGCCGCGCGAAAAAGTTTTGGGCTGCCCAAAAATTTAGACCGCGGGTAATCGCGGGCGGTACACGTGGTACACACGCGGTAAAGACGCGGTACAGACGCAGAACGAACGTGCTAGGACGTGCTACGGCCGCGGTTAAGACGTGGTTACACGCGGTAGGACGCGAAATTTTAGCGGGTAATCGCGGGTGGAGCACGGTCAAAGCACGTTTGTTCCGCGTCTGTACCGCGTCTGTACCGCTAATATGCATTAGCGTGTGTACCGCGTGTAAGCACGGAGCGGTTATGATTTCTACAGCCCGGTTCGGCTGCTTTATTATACCCGTGGTAGGCCGCGGTACTGCCGCGCTTCACCCGCGATAAGGACGCGGAACAGTCGCCGGCGTCTGTTCCGCGGGCATACCACGGGTAAACCGCGGGTAAGCCAATTTTGCACATTTTTCCACCACGGGCAACCGCGGGCAAAAAAAAATCGCGAAATTTTACCCGCGATACAGACGCGAAAGGCTGTGTGACCGGGCCTTAAAACACACTCAATAATATATCATTTGGAAACATTCTAATATTCTCTGTAGAGCAGTAGTCTAGAAGAGATGTACATACATGTATATGCATAATTCAAGCACTTATCTTTATACTCTAAAAGGTTACACTGAATAATAATAATAATAACATGACGTTCTTGTATAGCGTATATCACATCATGATATAACGTGTCTATGCTTCGGCAACCATGGCACTCTGTGCAGTCAAGGAATGAATCCTACCAGGTACCCACTTACTACATCTGGGTCGAGTGTGGCAAATGTAGATTGGTGTCTTGCCAAATGAAACTGAGGCATACATCAGTATGTACGGTATTGATGAGATAATAATTCATGTAAGATTTTCAAGAAACATAATACGAAAATGAAAAAGGCAATGTACTATTACCCCTATAAAATTTCTTTAATCCACATTCAAAGGATATGCTGTTTATGGGGGATAAACATACAGGATATCCATAATGATCAGATGATCACTGAAGTTATTCTGATACAAAATATTCTCCAACAACCATTATGAAATCAGAAGTGTTTGTTTATAACGAAAGATACAACACAGAAAGGAGGATACAATTCCATTTTCCAATTTCAAGAGTATTAGGCTAATCCTGAATGTGTGATCCCTGATCAATTCACGAGGTATCCGGTAACAGCCGAGAAAATGAGATAATAATGATTTTTCACAAAAACATTAAACCTGATAGGCATTTTTCAATCAGTTGAAAAGGCATGTTTCTCAAAAATAGTCACAATGTAATGTTGCCGAGTTAGCTAACTTGCATCCATTTGCATACAATACCTACTGTGTCCATCAGGTAGGGTTAGGGTTAGATTTGTGGCTGGTATTTGAGAAACTTGCCTCTACAAATGATTCAATAATGCCTGTCATTTAATCCCAATCCCTCCAATCCAACTGCATCATTTTCCATTTTTTCATTTAAAAGACTAAAAAATTAAATTGATTTGATTGTGATTCAAATAAATCAATTACTGATCAATCATATATAGATCTATAACAAAATATGATCCATTGTATTACTTGAGAGTTGAGAGTGATATTTTTGGGGATACTTTATAGTCTTTCAAAGGTACTTTTTTTCGTTAATTGTCTTTAAATTGACTCAGTAACATTGTTGAAGGTTGATGAAAAAATTGCTTAATTTTTGTATAAAATGTTACTTACAAACTGTATTACAATGTACATTCCTTCTACTGTACTAACCCTCTGACATGCAAAAAATCCTGAAAAAATTCCCAAACTACGAAGATATCTATGGTTTTCTTTGAAGGCGTCACTGTGCAACACCCTCTAACAGTGATTAACAGTAAATTCTCCCAACCATTTTTGAATTTTCCTAACCGTTTTTCCATGAAAAAAAAAGACATAAAACAGGCTATTAAAAATCTGTCAACACTTAAAAGTCTGGAATGGGATGTAGAGCCAATTTATTGCTTTGTGAAGATTAACATTCACCTAAAATGTAACTAAATTGCAATAATATAGTTGGGAGAATTAAGAAATCGATCAGATCAGTTTTTCCCAATGTTTATCATTAATAATGGTCTGTTTTCACTCAAATTTTCAGATTATCTTTAATTGTACCTCTGGCATTGAAGTTACTACCTTAGTACCAGTATGTCTCAACTGAACAATGTTACCAAGTCCCTTTAACCAAAATACAATCAAATAAAAATACTCTTGAAAAATCAACTCTACAGCAATTTCAATAGTCTTGTGTATATCTTATCCCATAGAAATCATGGTAGGATTATATAATAATATATCACTGTACTGTTTCAAAAGTAGGTAAACAGGCCTATTGAAATTGATATTTCTAAAGTGGTTACGATCATGTTGCAAACCTTAGACTGTCAAACAGCTATGATACAAAAACAATCATTCCATACTGTTGAATATTAATCTTTGGAACATCACACCACAAGTACATTGAAATAAATCTCAAGGGAAAGAAAAATATACCACGGATACAAGAAATTCAGTTTCCCATTCAAAAATCAAAACCATGCAATTTGATTTACCGATGCAATTCTAGCTCGAGATGGCAATTTTATTGAATTATTCAGACTACATTTCAGCAAAGGAAATGAGACTACGAGGAGAAGATGGAAGACGGGGAAATGGGACGTGGGCAAAATCCCTCTCCAAACGAGTTGCTGATTAACCAAGAATATTGATGTGCAAGAATGCAGAGAAATGTTTGAGCAGGCGAGGATTTGAGTCAGGAAGTGCTTCTTCATGTTGTTTGTTAACAGCTAGGTTCAAAATATGTTTGTCTTAAAGGGATCCGGTAACTTTGTCTCAGATTCTGAAACAAAATTATGGATTTAGCTCATGCTGCAATGATAATTATAAATAACCTTTAAGTCATTCAGGAACCCCATGACTTTTACAAGCCGATCGCCTGTCTGGTTTAGGTTATCAAGATATTTATGATTGGAATTACAAATTTTGAAAACCATTTGCCAAACGGTTTTCATAACACTACAGTCTATTGGGGACAACGAGTATGGTAAAACCGGTTTTTTGAGGCACTTCTTGATCATTTTGAAGCGCAATCTTTTTAGGGATTCAATATTACACCATATCACAGACGCTGATAACACATAGGGCCGTGTATCTCAGATTTAACATTGTTAAACGACCCCTTTAAAGTACTGGTACTTGTACACGTACATGTACAAAGCTCATATTAATAAATAATCTGTTGCTAAAACAACTGAAAATTCCCTTGCAAGTCTCCAATGAGCTATGACTGATCCCTCTTGGGGTATTTTGTTTTTTCGTAAATATTTGATATGAGCCATTGGAGAAGTATTTTGAGGGGTCAATCATTAACATCTGCTTACTTACTTTATAATTAACATACACAAGGTTATGAAAACACCCACCATCCTGCTTTCGTATAAATATACCAAAATAGATATTTCAGACAGGAAAATAAACCATAGTTGCCCAATTTGCCAGGTAAATATAATTATTATCCAATCCTAGACCATTTTTAGGTACAAATATTTTGGCAAACTTGTGCTCATGCTGGTTTCATATTTTTAGCCCGTCGATTGAAATATGAAATAATGATGAGCTCTAAAAGATACATGTATCGCTTGCTTTAAGAATTTTACATAACCTTGTACAATTTCATGGTTTATTTCAATTTAAAAAAAACATTACTCTATGCAGTATCTTACAAGAGCCATCCACCCATCCCCTTTCATCTGTTGATTCCAATACAGACTCATTGTATTCTTATCCTCACTTGCTCATTTTCATAAATTATGTGTTATTGTCCTCAGATTCTGTATCTTACACAAATTCAATTCAATTAAATTCAATTCAAGGTTTATTAAAAAATGTGTTGCAGCCCAATGGCTGAATTGGTCATGTGTACAATTAAAAGACATTCAAGTATTGCATCTATAAAACATTTTCTAAAATCTATTGCATTTCATCCGTCATTCTGCCTTCTGACAGGGCATCTACATATCAAAACATTAAAGACCAAAATGAAATAATTCATACTTTAGACATTGACAAATGATCACTGGAGGGGACTATGAATACTGAATGCGATGCTACTGGGATAATGTGCATGACCTTTACAGATAGAATCCTGAGAAATAAAAATGTCCCATCTTCTAATAAAGCTAAGCTCATTCAAAAATTAGTTGCATTTACTTGTACACTGCAAACGAAATTCATCAATTTTTCTCACATGTTTCATCTGTAGTTATACATAGCAACTACTGGTAAACACAACAAATGATCAAAATAAAAAAATCCACCAGAAATGCCTTCTGAAATTTCACTGCTTTTGCAACTTGTAAATCGTAACTTCAGTACTATTCCGGATTTTTGTCCTCACGTGAGTCTCCTCGCTTCTGTGCGATCGCATGCAGAGTAGCAACAAGTCATGCATGCCTACTACTCACCAAAAAATCGGTAAGAGCAAACACTGATGTTGGGTTTTTCCAGTAAAATAAATGGCAGTCCAAAAAATTGATGATTTTACAAAATGGTGCTTGGGATGAGTAAATGGGCCTATTGTACGTAAGAAAGACAGTTAGACTGACATTTCAAACGTCTCTAAACTCATCTTAGACTGAGCTTCAACAGCATAGGGTTGTTTTCATAAGACTTATTGCAGACCTATGTCAAAGAATATATCAAAATCTTCTCATGATATAATTCCCCAAGTACCTCACTTTCTACTCTACTCCCTTTTGGTAAAGTGTACTGTATGCCTATCCATATTAATTCCTCTCTCTCTCTCTCTCTCTCTTTCTCTCTACCCTCTCTCTCTCTCTCTCTTTATCTTGGTATCAATTACCGATTACCCAGGCCTATCATGATAGAATACATTGATCCACAATGTGAACGATACAATGAAAAAGTGCCATTAAATGTGGTAATCACCATGGCATGCTTTCAGAGCCTCCCCATCAATCCTGGTCGTTGATTACATTTTCTGACTCCACTGAAAATCTAATTACACGCTCAACCGACAATGATGTAACAGCCCTTGTTTCCAAGAAGAGACTTGCATGATACGAATGCAAGAGTCACCAACATGTTGATCAATACTTAACCCATGCTACTAGAGCATTATTGTACATTTCATCAATTATGTGCATCCTATGTTGTCCTCCACTGACTATATACATGCAATGATGAATGTTCCAATTTTCTTGGAAACGCCCACCTCTCAAAAAATGAAATGGAAGCTCTTATTACCAATCATGTGAAAGAATATGTTTTGACTAATACGTGATCATACAAATTTGGCCAAGAAACAGGCCTACTATTTGGTACATTATTATATCTATTTGGACCTGATAGATATAACACACGTGTCGCGCCCGTGTCGCGTAGTCCCATATACATCTTTCTGTGTACAGTGCTTGTAACTTTACCAAGACTGGGCCAAATTTCTTATCATGTTGATGATTCCAGAACCTTGCAGTACACACCAATACTTATATGCTAGATGATTAACCTTTTCTGATCGATTGCACAACGTTTCTTTCACATGACCATAACTGGTCTTTATCTTTATCCTCCTAACACCTTTTCATTCATTCACCTTACTTTTGTGATTTTTTGCAAGACACTTTTGTCAGCCACAAAAGCATGAATTCATCACCAGCGGGTCAAAATTAAAGAATTTTCAAACAAAGAAAAAAAATGTCAATATTTCCTTTAATCTTTTTTTTAAAGATGCAGAAAACACAAAATGCACAAACATTGTACATAGGTGCCTGAATGGGAAATGGTAATTCATAAAGCTGTAAAAAAAAAAAAAGATAGTGAGATTCTAGTACAAAATTTGCAGTAACAGATAGTCCACCAACTTTTGCATCATGGACAAAACTGCTCAAAGATGTACTAGAGGTATTAACTTTTCAAATTTTGGCAACATTTCATCTTACTATTAAAATTTGAGAGCTTTCAAACAGTGGTTGTCTGGAGGTCATTGAGGGACTCCTGTAAAATCTTGTGAGGCAAACTCGCAATACTTGCAAAATCTATATTGTTATTAATACAGTCGTTTCCAAGTGAATTACGTTTTGAACGTGACACCTTGGGCAACCATCTAGGTTTCCCATCTAACTGGCAATAAATGATGTAAAGCTAATATTGAGTTCTAGTAGAACTCCAACTTAAACTTGTCCTGATTGTTCAAAACTGAAAAATAAGGATACAGTTACCCTACTTGCTCCATACAAACAAAATTGTCTTTGAGAGACAGAAGTGTTAAAGCCCAAGTCCACTCGAAAAATAACTTACTTTCAATAGAACCAGAAAAATCAGACAAACCAATCAAAAAAAGTTTGAGCTAAATCGGATAACTAATAAGAAAGTTATGAATTTTTAATGACATGAAAAACTTTGAAAATCACTACACAAATTGGCAACTCACTCATGAGTTTGTGACGTATGGTCCTCACTATCCACTTATTATTTTCTGTATATTGATAATATAAATTTTCTATTTTCACCCTAAGAATCTTATCTCTTCACACGAGCATCTAAGTTAGTTTGTTAGCAATATGTGTTCGTGTGGATGCACAATTAAAGAGTAATTTTTGTCCAATTAAATCATGAAAAAAATGAATTTTGATGAACTATTTATATAAAAATCAATAATTATGAAATACAATATTCAGAAAATAGTATCAATTCTCCTAAATTCATGAAAGTTTTTTGGAAATGTCATGCACGCAATATGGAACAAATCATTTAACCTTGGCAAAGGTATGGGGAAATCAAGTTTTGGGGGATAAAAAGGTAAATTAATGGGATTAAACTATGTAAAGCAATTGATAAGTTGTGAGGACATGACGTCCCAAACTGATAACCATCTTGGCAATTTTTGTTGTGATTCTCATTGTTCCATAGTTTTACATACTTTTTCAAAAATTCATAACTTTCTTATGATTTATCCGATTTTGCTCAAACTTTTTTTGATTGGTTTGTCTGATTTTTCTGCTTTTATTGAAAGTAAGTTATTTTTCGAGTGGACTTGTCCTTTAAAGAGTATCCCTCCTGGCTCCAAACAGAACAAAATGGTGATTTCATGAAAGGATGTCCTGTTGGTTCCTACTTACAAGTATTATGATCTCAAATTTTTGAACCATTTTGGATAAAATCATAACTTTCTTGAACTGATCATCCAATTTGACAGAAAAGAGAAATGAAAGAAAAAGAGGGAGGAGAGAACAAAAAGAGGGAGGAGAGAACGAAAAGAGAGAGAGGGGGGCGGGGCGGAGCGATTCATTCAAACTTCTTTAAAAGAGGAGAGAACGAAAAGGGAGAGGGGGGGCGGGGCGGAGCGGAGAGATTCATTCAAACTTCTTTAAAAGCTGACCTTTAACCTTTGTGTCATGTTTCACTACTTACTTGTATATGTCTATGCAGCATGGCTTCGGAGATACCGGTGTGCGAGAGGACGATGTGGATGCTGGCACTCTGGGTCTCCTTCCCCATCTCTTGAAGTTGGTTCCTGAAGGTCCTGTCTTCTCTCTCGTTAGGAGGACGGTGGATGTATGGTAGCACGTTGATCTGATCATGAAAGCACAATGGATGGATGCATGTCAGCAAATCTAGTATGATGGTATTTAATTATAAGACTACACAAACAGTCCTTTTCGGGACTACACACCCTCAAGAAAGATTACAGAGGGTCCTTACATGACTCCTCAATCCTCTCTCTCTCTCTCTCTCACACACATGGTGCACCCGCAAGCCTACTGTATGGTACACCTGTATTAATGATGTTTCATATTGCAATGACAGAAAACCAAGCTACAGGTACCAGTACAATGAATTGTTCTGAATCACAAATGATTGTTGCGATTTAAAATTAAGTTATATTTTCTGGAGCTGGTCATTCCACCACTTGAGCTGTGATTATTTATGGTTGTACAGCATATTCCCCTGCAATAATCTGTGTGTGGTAATTTGGTACTTTATAACTGAATTCCTAGAGTCAACCCTGGACTAAATAATGTGGTTATTATTATTATTATAAATATCATAATTATTACTATTACGATTATTATTATTATCATCATCATCATTATCATCACAACCATCACCATCACGATCCTCGTTGTCATCGTCATCGTCATCATCATCATCGTCATCATCATCGTCGTCGTCGTCGTCGTCGTCATCATCGTCATCATCATCATCATCATCCCCATCACCACCATCATCATTATTATAAATTGTATATCATATATCCAAAAGCCGATGGTATATAATTAAGAATATAAATGTGTAGCCATCAATATTTCAATGCTGTACATACAGATGAAATGCATGGAAAAGGAGTTTAATCAAAATGTAGAATAAATCCCATTTGTGTTTATATTGTCTGTATGAAAAAATATGGGAAATGTCAGTTGTCTGCAAAGCACTGAAAAATGTTTTTCTTCGAGTAGACACTATACAATGCAAACAAAGCATGGCATGAGGCAAACAAAATTGCTCAATGAAGTATGACACACACATCTAGAGCGGTAACCAGGGTGCCGCAAGACATCTCTAGGGGGGGGGGGGGATGCGAGAGAAATTTAGTTACATCAAAAATTTGTTTTGGAATAATGATGATTTCTTGAAACACCAAATATTATAAACTGCTACATGTATGTAATTTGATGAGGAAATAGCAATTTATAGATGACAAGTGTATTTCTTCCTAGCTCGCTTCGCTCGCTTGCATTATTTTCATAACAGGATGATTTCAGGCAACTAAGAGGTGCCTGAATATCATTCTATTTGTCAGCGAGGTGCCTGTATGTGTTACAAATATATAATCAAAATTAAATTTTTACCGCTTGTTTGCTTCAATCACTCACAACATATATATATAAACGGGTAAATTCTGGGCGTATCGATGCCCGCACGTCCTCATATTTATGCATATTTGGGGAGCCCGCATACATTATTTTATATCTTATCTAGTATGTTGATTACAACAAAAATTTGTAACATATCAAAGATAACATTTTGGGACTTGCTCAACAAGTTTCAGAGTGATTCACAAGAAATATTCTGTGATGAATTTGGGATCGGGGTGATGCAAAAGATTATATTTCTGAAAAGGGTGCTGTGACTGTAAAAAGGTTGAAAAACGCTGGCAGAGTAACAAATGATGAATACATACAGGTCTGAAAACAAAACTCTGACAAGAGTCATGGTGGGAAGTATAATTTTTGTATTACTTTATTTAATGATCATCGTCAGAAACTGCCATGACTCTCATTGGAGTTTTCTTTTTACTTAGTCCCGTATTTATTTTGCAATATAACAACACTTTTCTGTTTGATGTTTGTTGGCATAACATGTGGTAATTCCAGATCCATAAAAATCTCCAGAAACTATGAACAAACAAGATTGTACATGTACCGGTAGTCAAATTGAGACTGTTGAGCATGTTTTGAATGCGTGTGCTGAAGCAGGACCCACACGTCCCCGATGGAACTGATACTGACCGCCAATAGCTGGTGTCATATTTAAACAATTGAAATTAAATAAATTAAATGGTTATGGTTGATATACTATTGCTGAAATTTCACTGGAATACATGTACAGAAATGTATGGAATCAGTTCATATAATTTAAATACATGTATACACAGCAAATGTCATGAGGCAATGTTTTGCCCAAGGACAAAATGAATTATGAATGACGCAATTTTTCCGTAAAGATACCCCTTGTGTCCACGAAGAACTATATTAAGCATGTGAGAGTAAAAATGTTGATGTTTCCTTACCTCAAAGCTGAAAAGACATTGAAATCAAATTCAAATCAATGGAAAACAAATCACTTTAATATCTAAACAAAATATTGAATGAACATTACTAAATCTACGTTTTTTTTGTACAGTGTATGAACTAGCAAATACTTGAAGCAACAAAGCAAAATTTTGGTGAGGATCATGTAATTTTATACATGTAAATCACATTTTGACATGAAGTTATTATTTTATATGTGTATTATACCATAAGTTTTACATATTCTTTGTTATTTAGTTATTATATTTGGAAGAATGAAAAATCAAATCAAATCACATCAAACAACAAGGGAAACGCTCTCGGCGGTTTCGCCTGCATAACGCAATTCAATATGATAAACCGGAACTTCAATGACGTAGCGCTCATCCGCAACATCGCAACATCGCAACAAAATATCGTAAATTTAATGTGGTACACTTTTGAACTGGTCAAAAAATAAAAATTTGATGCCCTGGAAGGACATCATTTCATTTCATCTGCATAAAGTATCATAAATAATCAATGGAGCAAAATCTCACAATTCTGTGTAGAAGTTTAGTGTTCCAAATTTAGCTCTACCAGATCAGGCAAACCAAATCAAAATCGGTAAAGAAATGAGTGAGAAGAAGCAATTTTTTTTTATTTTTGGAATAAATTTGCATAAAATACCATAATTAATGGAGAACAATTTCAAAATTCTGTGTAGATGTTAAGTGTACTAAAATTGGCTCTACCAGATAAAGTGAACCAAATCAAAATCGGTCGAAATATGAAGGAGAAGAAGCATTTTTTGTGATTTTTTAATTATTTTTGGAATAAATTTGCATAAATTACCATAATTAATCAATGGAGTAAAATTTCAAAATTCTGTGTAGAAGTAATGAGTGTTCCAAATTTAGCTCTACCAGATAAGGCAAATCAAATCAAAATTGGTCAAGAAATGAGGGAGAAGAAGCAATTTTGTTATTTTTGGAATAAATTTGCAATAAATTACCATAATTAATTAATGGAGAACAATTTCAAAATTCTGTGTAGATTTTTAGTGTACCAAAGTTAGCTCTACCAGATAAAGTGAACCAAATCAAAATCGGTCGAGAAATGAAGGAGAAGAAGCATTTTTTGTGATTTCGAATAAATTTGCATAAATTAGCATAGACAATGAATTTCACGATTCTGTGTAGAAGTTTTAAATCCCCCTCCTAGCCCTATCATATGAAACAATCAGAATCAAAATTGGTTGAAAAATAACGAAGAAGAAGCATTTTGAAAATCCGCCGTCACCGGAAAAAGCGGCGCCTATGTCTCGCTTTTTGCTACGCAGGCGAGACAAAAACCTGTTAGTTATGAGAAGGGTTAGATAAACAGTGTGCAAATTAACGAGACAATGGAACATGTTAAGAGTGATTACTTATTTTTTTAAATAATTAAAAACCATGTAAGTCACGTTAAGTAAATATAAAAAAAAGACAAATAGCTTATTATAATACTTGTAGTCACTACACTGTTTGTTATTTTGCAATATTCATGAAACGAGGTTGAAATAATCAGAGAACATGGGGGAATAGAGGATAAGTTTTAATTCAAAGAAATAGGAAATAATTAAATTTCAAGACAAAACACAAGGACAAATATATTTAAAAAAAGAAAAAGAACATAATTACAATAAAGGAATAGATGCCAGGGAAAGAGATATGTAGAAAGGGTTACATGACTGTATACATTTCAGAAAGGATGCATTTAACAGCCTGTTTTTAAAACAAAAGTATATCCATTCCCTTTTTCTCCAAATAAATAGAAGCAAGCAAACAATCTGGCTGTTTTGCTAGATGCATCCAAGAACTACTGGTAATGCAATTTTATTAGGGAACCTAATCTCTTTGTGGCACAACCCATTTCAATGTTGCATTTCTTTCATTTGAGCATCGCTTTTAGCATCCATCGACTGGCGCCTAAATTAAAGTCTGCCCCGTTTGTTTGTGGACTTACCTTGTGGAAAGCTACGTGTTTATATTGCACTGCCTCGGTGACGGAGGAGAAATGCTTCTCGAATCTGGCGATCTTCTGCGGGGTGATGGGATCATTGCCTTCTCCTCCTATATCGTTGTCCCCCGCTAGGTAGATTATCTGGGGGATAAGCGAAAGATGATTGACATTGTGCATGTAATTAATCTGGCTCAGATTAAGTAGCAAGATACATGCAATCAAATTACACCTCACCAATAGGAATTGGCTCCCTGATAATGTATTAAGGCTTCAAAGAAACATAATACTATGTCAGAATTATCTTTATTTAGACTTCAAAGAAATAATACTTTGTCAGAATTATCTGTATCCGTACCCTAATGGGGGTATATCATATTCACATTTAAAGGGCAATTCACCTTTGTAAGGAGTTCATTTGCATGAAAGCAGAAACAAGAGAAACAGAATGGCAAAAGTTTGAAATAAACTGGACCAATGATAAGACAGTTATCAGTGGTTGAAATATTAAATCACTATAAAAATTTGTGCGAGATTTTCTAGCAAATATATCACAGTGACAGTGACCAAGGGGCCCAATTTGAAATTCTCTGATGTATATTTATTTATTCATTTATTTGTTTATATATTTATTTATTTATTGTGTTTTTAAAAAAGAGGAGGGTAGTCCCATTCAGTGCCACAGAGGCATGCTTCACAAAACTATTATGAAAAAAATAATAAATCATAAAATATTAAACATAAATATACATGTGCATGGCAAATCTAATAACAACTTTTAAATGAAAATAAAAACAAAAACATTTTTAAAAAAGATACCGGTATGTGATGTATACTGTACATGTATACAAAACAAAATAACTTCAAACTTTCGCCAATCTGTTTTTTTTAATTGTTTCGTTGTTTAATTCCTCCAAAGCAATTTGCTATTGAGGTTGAATTTCCTTTAAATGTACCATATCAAATCCTGATATCACTGTGAGAAAAAAACAAACTTATACTGCACATCATTTTAAAAGAGCTCCTGAATGAACCGAAAACAGAAAAGTGTTCTTTACACAAATTGCCATATGAGGCATGGCCCAATCTATCCAGGGCGCAAAGGACTCGTATATAAAGCAGGTATTGCAAGCTGGAAAAAGAGATCATGCATGCATTTTAACATCAATGCAGGTATACCTTGTAAACCCGACACTTTTCAGACAGCGTGAAAGTGGCACCTGCACAAATTGGATTTAGCATTTTACATGTATGTGAGCAGTTCGAGTGAAGCACCATCGATCGATCTTGATAGACAGTAAGTATGGGCGTGTACCTCTTAAAGGTAATACATTACAAAGTTTGGTATGGGGTCATGAATTTTGTTCAAATGAACATATTGGAAGGAAATGCGATCCTACAATATTAAATGATCGTTGTCGCGGTTGAAAACGAGTCTAAAGTTATGAAATTGTAAATAATAAACTCTTTATGTTGTATAGCTCCCTCTCAAGGTCAAGATATTAATTAAGCTATAAAACAATGTTTCAAAACTAAAATCGACCAATTAGCTATTCCCGTTTGGAAATTATATATCACAACTCCATATTCTGAGATTTTCATGATCGCAGCTAACATTGTACGGCCGTAGGCGCTATTTGAAATTTATCAAAATTTACCGGGAACACCGGTAAATTTTTATATTCAATTTTTCCCAAAAGCAGAAGTGTTTTAGGGGCTAGTTTTTCTAGTGCTTCTAATACATCCACAGGGGCATCCAAATATATCAAAATAGTAAAGAATCATTATCCACCCATTTTTCAAAACTTTGTATTACCTTTAATAGGCTAGTATCTCTTAGGCTTGAATCTCTATACCCCCCTCCCCTAAAAAAAAAAGTTCTCACAATATCAAGAAATCTCTGAAATTATTCAAAGTTTTAGTTTTTCTTATTGTGAGAATGTTGTTTGCTACTTTAGATGTTAACCTGCTTTAGTGACCACCTGTTTATAAAGACCACATTTTTTTGTTTCCCTCGAGCGGTCTTTATACATGTATACAGGTTTCATTGTACGTGTATATTGATTGATTAATTCAGATAAATGCTTGAACATAATTTATTAATATCGGCAATACATCACTTTTCAAACCTCATGCACCATGTATCATTCTTTACAACTCTATGCTACACACACATTAGATTGCACATATACACTTTGATGTGCATTCCATATGTATTGTAATTTGTATGTCTATTTGCATTTTTAGTTTTGTATAAGATGTAATTGTATATCATTCTATTTTGTTTGTTATAGCGCTTAGAGACTTCGGTGGTAAGCGCTTTATAAGTAACGTTTTTATTATTATTATTATTATACATGTACAGTAGATGCAAGAATCCTTGTCATATTTTGCATACTTCACTGTCATGTTGCTTGAGACATGTTATTCCTCCCATGAGAATCAATCGCAAACGTTCAACACAAAATAAAGTTATCCTGAAGAAGAAAATACATTACGTCATGAATGTAGGCTATTTGAGTAACTCTGGGGGAAATTGAAACAAGCCCCAAGAATTCCCAGTACTCAGTACTGATCACAATTTATTAACAGGAAGCTAAACATTTTGATTGATGAGAAGAGCTTCTGGATATGAAGCAATGGCACCAAAGCACACTTTACATCTAGTAACAGCCTTCTGATTGATTAGGTAATTTGTTTCCCTTGAGTGGTCTTATAGTACACCTGCACATGGGCAGGCAACTACATATGTGTAATAGAATGATACACATTGTTTAACAATAAAAAGAACATTCCTGCATGCATTCCTACACAATTATCCTCATGTATTTACAAGAAAAGAAACCAGTCAAGTCACGTTCATGTACAGTACTCTCAACATAACATTTTTTAAATTGACATGTATAAATAATGCTCATTTTCCCACTTTGTTTTATACAACAAGTTTACATTCCTCGCTTAAACCTGTGTTTTTTCTGAGATAATTTGACTATAATTTTAAGATATTACTAAAACTTAAACTGGGAACATCAACATGAACATACACACCATGAACATGTTTTCTGTTTGAAGCCAGAAAGGCAATAGCTAGACTTTAACAGTTAAAGTCTAGCTATTGCCTTTAAAGATAAACTTGAGTTCTGGTAAAAAAAGAAAATGAATTCTCACAGAATCTATTACACTGAATGTTCAAGATTACAAATAAATGTCATGTGCCAAACAATTTTGGAAGAAAATGTGTACTGGCTGAGTAATGAGCATAGAAAGATAAGGAAATCAGGGTAGTACTAGCCCCGACACCATGTGTGTTGTCCCATATACATCTTTCTGTGTAAGTGATTGTTACTTTACCAAGACTCTGCCAAATTTATGATGATTTTGATGACTCCAGAACCTTGCATTACACACCATTACTTACATGTACATGCTACATGATCAACTTTTCTGATCCATTCCACACCTTTTCTTTCACAATGCAATCGCATTACCAGAACTCAAGTTTATCTTTAACTTAAGAGTTTTACATGTACCTCTTTCTAGCTCCGAACAGATGATGTAATACTGCATGTCCTTTGATCAAATATTTCTGGACAGTCAAAAGGTACCGGTATTGGGTATACATTATTTATACCTTTTTCAGACCCATGTTCCTTTTTGCTGGATGCAGACTATTTAAGATGACGAAAATCAGTTTTACCCTGCCAAAGCATGCAATTGCAGTTTCAATCTGACTGGAGATGAATTGATTTCAGAATATTCACTCACATCACAACGAGACCCACCGTGTGCCGGCTTAGTTGTTTTTCGTCCCACAGCCGACAATTTTCTTAGGAGAGACACTAAGCTCAGCCGACCTAGAAATTTCACTTTGATGCCTCTAATGCTATTGTGTGTCACATCCCCCTGTGCAGGGAACATGCACTTTACCGAGTACCCAATACATCATTGTGAACTAAAAATTCACGAGACTCTCTAGTCTCTATGGGACTTTTCTACTTTAGGTTGAATTGAAATTTTCCTTGAGGGCAGAATTTATGAGGATTATTTTGCAGAGCTCTTAACAGAGCTTTCCAACACTTAATCCTTCTCAGGTTTTATTCTCCTGGCTAATTCTTTTTTGCTTTCACCCTGTGGAATATAAAAACTTATGCATTTAGATTTATTGTACTTGGGAGTGAGTGAGCGGAACAAATATTTAAAAATGAGTCCACATCTCTGATTCTCTGTAATACATTAATGCATGGAACTAAAGCTTCTTCTTCTTCTTCTTCTTCTTCTTCTTTCTTCTTTATTCCTTCTCTTTTCTTGTTTTTTTTTTCTTTTCCTGCTTCTTCTGCTTCTTCTTCTTATTTTTCTTCCTTCTGTATTCATCATTCTCTTTCATTTCTTCTTCTTCTTTCTCCTTTTTGTTCTTTTTCTTCCTTCTTTCTCATTTCTCCTCCTTCTTTTCCTTCCTCCTTTCTTGTTTATCCTTTCTTCTTATTTTCCTTTTTCTTCACCATAAATTGTCCCTCTTCAAAGAGGCTTCATCAAAAAATCAAAATGTATTCAACTGAACCTTCATTTCCCACATACAGTGTACATGTACATGTACATGTAGATCTGTCATTCCTGTATTCCTTTTAGACTGTAAATTTTAAATCCAACACACTTTGATCATCAGTAGATGTGAACTCATTGAAAGTACATTTCAATACATTCAACATTACTAACGGCAGGTTGATTGTTGAATCTGTGGTTCAGGCCCTTAGGTCAGGGTAATAGAATACCAAGCAAGCCAGCAAGTCAACTGTCGAGGGCCTGATAAATGTAGTACAGTATTATTGAACTCTTTAATAGCCCTTTTAAAAATCAAGCACAGAAACGAAAGGGAGAAGTAGGCTTTTGGGCTATGTCCAAGACGATAGACAATATGGCCTTCCCTCTTTCCTCATAGCCCTACCAATAGACCATTATGTTTGCTAAGCCATGAGCTATCATATTCATCTAGGCAGCATTTAATGATACTGTCATAAAAGTACAAGTTTGCCAAACAACCCTTTGAAACTGTGTGTTATTTAATACACATGTTTCAATGGGGTGTCGGTGCACTTGACCTTTTGTAAAATGATTCCCTCCTATAATATATATCATTGTATCCCGATAGTCAGAATACAGATTGCATTAATTATTTGTTGCTACTTGCTAGGTCGGACAAACCGAATAGCTTGTCATGTTGAACGATACACAATATGCAGTTTGCATTATTGCAAGTGAACACTAAATCAATTTTAACAGGTGAATTAAATAATTTGTAACAGGACACTTTTTATAGTCTTATAGACATACATGTATCTACATGTATAAATCACATTTGCATATTAACTTGTCTTCTTAGAGTACAGGTCTATCATAATTCTTATACAGTGGAATAAAGCTGAAAGTGTACCAATCACCAACAAATGGTTTACTCTGTATGTTACACGTTCTATGGTTCTATTATGTTAATAATATTTTATTTTCTTGGTAATTTATTAATATTGATTCCATTAGTAATATTGATTTTTCTTGAAGTAATCTTGATTTGTGTACAGCGCTTTGAAACTTTTATGTCACAAGCGCTATACACAATTTGTGTATAATTATTATATTATATTAAAGATATAAGCTCCAAATATCACTTATTCAAACAGACGTTGAAAGTTTAATTACACTATCAAATAACACAAAGCGGATGTACATGTAGGAGTAGACTAGTCATCTAGTAGTCGATGCACTCATACCTGTACATGTTACGCTTGCATAGAAAAGGGCCTAGACGGAACCAAAATCTGACTTGGGTTCCATGCACAGGCCTTTATGTTTATCTTTATTTTCACCATACTTCTTCATCCATAACGCACTGCTGGATAAAGTTTTGGAGGTTGATTTTTAAAACATTCTCGCTATACTATACACAAGTTATTGTTTTAGGTGACTGGTACACACTTTAATGTCACACCAGTATTTTTTTTCTGTGAGGGGAATGACCCTGACTCTCTGTGCATACTTGTGACTTGTATGCACAGTAATGCAATACACCCAAGTGCAGATTATATTTGATCCGACAGATGAAAGTGATATTGTCTGTTTGGAGCAAGAAGGGCACCAACTCTATGTAAAACTTTATGAGTAAACGCCCTTCTGGCTCCAAACAAATGATATTATGTACACCGCAGAGATGTTTCACATATCACTTCTTTTTCTGCCAAATCACTTCAGCAGAAATGAAGCTTGTCATGGTATCAACTGCTGAGAGCTACATGTAGGAACTTTACATCTACATGTAAAAAGTTAATGAGTTTTGCTGTCTCTCACCTCAGCAATACTAAATGCCCTGAGACTATACTTTACTTTACTTGTTAGGCCAAATACTTCTGATTATAGACCAGTTCCTGGTTAGCACATGTCCCAAATGACCCTGAATATCCACAGATCTCCAAAACATGAAGAGGTCCCACTTTGTACATTTTGAAATGATCACTCCTACAGCGATGGAGGTGCTACATAAATATTAGCCTTTGTTTCCCTTTTTCAAAGAATTTACTTCCACCTGTGTATCATGGAGTGCAATGCTTGTGCATGAATGAAAAATGATAACTTAACTTTCATGCTCTACAGCTCTAGCAAGTATCCAGTATTTTTTTCTCTGTGTATTTCACAATTAATAGTCTGCAGTGACCTTTATCTACTCATGCTCAGACTGCAACTATGAACTGGCCTTTTTGTAGAAATAACAAAACAAAGACCAAACTTCCATACACTATAGATGATCCCAATCACTCACTATCCAGAGTTTCTACTTGTATTTTAAGGTAAAACATTACGACTTGAATGGTTTATTACATTCAAATGTCAAGGTTTACCCTGAACTGATAATAGAAAATTCACAGGAACAACCTTGACAAACAATATCTTCTCACTTAGTTTCATTTCATCAAAGAAAACAGCAGAGTAGTTTGATGATATCATGTCTACATTTTGTGAGAATTTTGAGTAAGTTACAATCAGTTTGAATCTGATGATCCCCGATAACCCTGACCCAAACAAATGCTATCGTACTTTGAACCCCCGCAATTACATTAATCATTATTTTAATCCTGTCAGATAAAGAACAGAAAACAGAACTCTACATACTTGTCTTGAATGATAAGCCTACATACTGTGCTCTCTTACTCTTGGAGGAGTTCAATACTTGTAAACAGTGTCACATTACCTACAAAATATGGAATCGGTTATGGATGTACATGTACACTGTACCTCAAAATCCAGATTCATGTTGGTTTCCATTACAAAAGAACAGAAACTTCCAACAGCTCTATCAAGTTTATCAATGAGGGAAAAAATAAAAACCATTTTGCAATTATTTGGACTATTGCATTTTAGAGGCATCAGGGATGACCCCTCCCCTGTGAAATGTACATGCAGAAATGAAATCCTCTTGATTACTATTAAAGTAATTTTACACATGGTTAGGATCAAGAACTTCATGTACCAAGTATTCTAAACAGTTGTTTCACTACCCATTTGACTGACTGTAAACATTAGAAGTACAAGTATGTTATTAAAAAAATGCTAAGCCTCCTGTGTGCAAAGCAGTGCTGCAACACTACTACCACTTATATACTTTTTCTTTCTTGTTTGTTTGCTTGTTTGGTTGGTGGGTTTTTTTAATAGCAGAAAATTTAATAGCAGAAAACAATCACTCCGGTGAGCAAATTAGCTATAGGCTTTGTCTCACAAGCGATACTTCCGGGTTTGCACCTACTTCACCCCATGACGTCATCAAATTGGGCCTCAATATTCTCTCGAAATTTGCAATTAAACATGGTTTAGAATACAATTTTTCAAAGTAGCTCTTCTCCTAAACGCGACCTTCTAAAGTGATAAACTAAACGCTGTTGTTTTACATGCACTAAGCTTGAAAAGGGTGTATATTTATTTTTGTTCGGTATTCCTCTTTAACAAAATAGCTTCAGATTAACCACAAAACTCTTTAGTTTTAGTTTACAGGGCAATAAAACTTGCTTTTCATGTCTAATCAATATCGATTAAAAACTTTTTTGGGGGGTATGGAAATGAATACGAAAATAGATTCAAAGATATTTTTTTACCTGTACTCCTTCAGGGACCTCATAGATATTCTTTAGCCTTGTTGCATATCTTTCAAACTCCCAATCTTCGGATATACTGCCTTCATCCAATAGATCCCCCATTATAATCACTATGTCAGGATTAACAAAGTTGAGTGCATGATGGTAGTAAGTCTTCAAATAGCGATCTGCGTCCCATCGGGTCAGATACCCCAGTAGGGCCGGCTCGTCCTGATATCCTTGTATCTGAGGGTCGCCGACGAACAGGATTCGCACCGTGTCACGTCCATCTGATTTGGTCAATGGAGGAAGGGTTGCCTCCGATGCTGTCCATTGGTTGTGCTTGACCGTTAAGAATTCATAGTACTCATTGTAAATGACAAGGAAGAGGCCAGACACAACTAGGATGGTATTGAATGGGGACGTGAAGACCATGATCACTTGTGTCCTTCTTTAAAGATACATGTAGTTTACAAGATTACTTGCAAGTTTGTACTGCTTGGAATATTTCAAGATTGATGCATGGTTTTTATTACACCATTACACACATGTAGAGCTCTTGTGTATCCTGTCAAAATGTTTAATAAGATCGGCCATCTGCAGAAGGAAGAAAATAAAATGAGAGAAATACAAGAGTCTGTATTACTTGGGCAGTTCGGCACAATTGTAAAAGCACTTTAGCTGTGCTGTAGTGTGAGTGGACCAAGAAAAGGAGAAATATATAATAGAATATTTGTAAAGCGCTTAGAGACATTTGTATTAAGCGCTATATAAAAATTAAATATTATTATTATTATTATTAAATATGAAAGTTTTTTGCTGTAAATATTAATATCACAAGCGATTTGAGCATGTTTGATATCAACAGGAACTTTTAAAATGTAATGTCCTTCAAAAGTGACATTAAATCATAATTTCCTCCTTCTTTTTTTCTAAGTCTTTCCCTCAGGACTACAACCTACTGTACTGTACATGTACTTCTCCAACATGTAATGTTTCTATTCTCCCCCTTCTTTTCTTCTACCTTTCCATTTACTTCTTTTTCTGGTATCTCTCTTCAACTTGGGTCATTCTCCAACATTTTTCACATTCTGATAATTATCTTATTATTATTTTCATGATTCTAGCTCAGTTTTTTTTTCTCTGTCATCACAAAAAAGGATAAGTTAAAATCATGTTTTCATCAAAAATGCACCAGACACTCTTTATTCAAATGTTTTTGAAACGGTCTTCACACAAACATTAAAAAACTTTATAAATATGTTGAGTAATTTACAAACTCGCAAAAATGTTGAAATAACCCGGCTTGAGGCTAGACCTAAACACTATTAGAGAACAAAGATTCAAGAATGGATCTATCTACCATTAACCAATAATTAGGAAGACTTCCTTTTGTGACAGCCACCCAAATTTTAAAAAAATATGGGTACAGCTTAGAATAATATAGGCCCTATATAATAATATGATATATAAAACATGATAAAATAGGGTAAGGGTTAGTGTTAGGGAGCTGAGGTCTGTACAGCTTATATCGCCGCTGAAGGGTACTATGACAGTATGAGTATGAATAGATTGAACGAGGAATGGAAGGAGAGAAGAGAGAATGCATGTACTAGTAGTAGTACTTAGGTGGCTGTCGCAAAAGGAAATCTTTCCCAAAAATTTGCTTCACAACTTTTCTGTTTATTTTAAACAGGCACATCTTACAAAATAATTGGGAAAAAAGTTAATATTGAAATGAATTAATTAATAAAACAATAGTCAAATAGACAAAGAATTTTAAGAAGGCAAGATTAATTGTCAGTTTTATTACAGTTTTTACACAATCAATTCATCAGCAGCAGCAGTAACGTAGCATTATAATCATCATTACCATTCGCTGACACTGTTTACTTTTGAAATATCAAAATCGACTATTTGGATTAACAATTTTGCCGGCGATGCCCAAGAAGCCCTGTCGCCAATTCATGGAATCGTTTCATTCTGCCCAAAAATTACAGGCAGTCATATACCTACACATAAAACAACGCACGGGACTGACCTTAACAACTCTTAGTCTTATTTTACTGGAAATATAAAGTGAATAAATAGAGGCAAAATATATAATTTGAAAGGACTCTACTCACCTTTAACTTTCATGCTTATAACTGCTAGGTATGTTAAGAGTAAATGACCCCTGTGAGGTTGCAGTAGATCTGCGGTGAAAGCCGAAATAAAATGATAATAGGACGAGTTTCAGTGTTATTTACTTGAAGTTCACGACGATAAATTAGATGTCGAGAGATGGCGCTACAAATGAACTTTAACTGCGTTCATCAAATTAACCACACACAAGTTCCACGTAGTACGGTGTCAGTAGGATCTTTTTTAATCGTGATCCCACAACTAATTCTTTTGAAATGGGTGAATATCAAATCCTACTGAGATTAATAAAAAAGAAAACTTCAAGCCCATGATTTTTTTTATTAATAAAGGTTCAACTATAGATGGTGACGATATTAAGGGGTCTATGCAAACCAGGCGCGGATCCAGGGGGGAGGGGGCAGCGGACCTTGCCCCCCCCCCCCCCCTGCAAAAAAAGAGAGAGAGAGACAGAGAGAGAGAGACAGAGAGACAGAGAGAGAGAGAGAGAGAAGGAAAAGAAGGGAAAGATGAGAGAAGGGGAAAGGACGAAGAGGAAGAAGAAAAGAAAAGGGGGAAAAGAAGGAGATCGTGGGGGCCGAAAGGTCCAGCTGTTATCTCCCCCCCCCCCCCCTCCCCCATCAAAAATAAGACAGAAGGAGATAAAGGAAAGGAAAAAAGAGGAAGAAGAAAAGAAAAGAAGGGGGATATCAGTTGCTATTTCCCCCCTAACAAGTTGTAGATCGGAGGGGGGCAGAAGCCCTTAATTTGCGGTGGCTCTGCCCCTGGACCCCACCTAGGGCCCTAAGGCGGACCCCTGGATGCTAATCTGATAGTAATTTAATGCCTAAAACCCCTAGGCTTCCGGGGTTCCGCCCCCTCGACCCAACCAGGGGCCCTAAGGTGGACCCCTGCATGCTTATCTGACCATTATTAAATGCCTAAAACCCCTGAGCTTCTGGGGTCTCCGCCTCGTGGACCCCACGCCAATTAATGACCTGCCAGTCCCACAAATAAGGTATCATTATGCTCATCTGACCGAAAATAAATGCCTAAACCCCTGAGCTTCCGGGCTCTGCCCATGGCCCTGGGAAGCGGGGGTGCTGGGGGTGCTGCAGCCACCCAGGAATTTTTCCAGGGGGGGCATAGCACCCCCTGCAATTTTTTTTGGTATGATATATATTTACTGTATATATACGAAATTATAACGTTTCTTTCACAAAATCATATAAAATTACCCCTCGAAGCGTATTTTTTTTAATTTTTTTATATAAAAATAAAAAAATTGTGGTAATTGGTGCCCAAAAATGACAGACCTTTCCCCACCCCAATACCGATCAACCAAATTTTCAAATTATGGAGCTATTTTGCGAGAAAAAAAAAATGTCCTCTTACCCCCCCCCCCCCCCCCCCCCCCCCCCCCCCCCCCCCCCCCCCCCCCCCCCGCTTATTCAACGGCTGGCTGAGTCGTTATTTCGCAATATATATATCTCAGCGGCTCCGGTGAAAAAATCGTTCCCAGGACCCTGAGCACCCCCGGTGAAAAAAATCGTTCCCAGGGGCCTGGCTCTGCCCCCGGAATCCAACCAAAGGCCGTAAGGCGGGTCCCTGGATGCTCATCTGACCGTAATCTATTGCCTAAAACCCCTGAGCCTCAGGTGGCTCCGCCCCCTGGACCCCACACCAATTCGTGACCTGCCATCAGTGTCACAAATAAGGTACCCCTGAGCTTCCGGGGGCTCCGCCCCCTGTACCCCATCCCTGTACTCCTGTGTGTGCAGTTGACTGATTGTATACAATATGGACTTTTAGATTTGCACAACGACAACGTGGATTGCTACTATCGACGTCCTTTTAATGCACTGCCTTGAATGGACGTCACACGTATCAGTCCACGCAAATCTAAAAGTCCCTAATTGCTGCCTTTGTAAAACGCACACTTTTGCCACCGTGACGAAAACTGCTACACTTCTGAAAAATATATCTAGTTGTGAATTTAAAAGCACATAATAATAAAAGCTATTAACAGCTGCTACTCGTTTCCTTTTAGTGAAGTTCGAAAGCACATTTATAGGTTTATTCTAATAAAATATTTTTAACAGCCATTATTTGTTTGTGTTATGTGAAGTTTGAAATGTAATTGATGTAGTTTTGGACCTTTGAACCTGAATGATAGGAGAAAAGGCGTGTGTGAAAGAGGGAGTTTGAGTGTTCACAAAATTCATCAATAGGCCCGTTGTCATCAATATTTTTCTGAATGACAACATTTTAAAAATTGAAGACTTGTATATTTTTCAGCTTGGACAGTTTATGTACAAGCTCAACACCAAAGATTTACTTTTGCCTTGTAATGATATGTTCGTAAAAAAATATTCGATTAATAGTTACATTACTCGCCAGGCGAGCTCTTTTCATCTACCAATAAATAGCACATCGTTTGTGCACAATTTGTTTTTACAGGTCCAAAACTGTGAATTCTCTTTCAAATGATATTATACAGTGTAATTCGGGACAAATTTTCGAAAGGAGACCTTAAAGCTTTCTTCTGAATAGTGCCGGCAAATGCATTCCCCAAACAAATATAATTTGTAGTGTGAGATAATGCAACCTAGATGTTTGTATAACTTTGATTGTTTCTTTTTATGTATATATTTATCATTGTTTTGCGTTTAAAAATGATTTTTGTATTACTGAATCAGTTAATGTTAATTTTTTTTCTTCACATAAAAAAAACAATTTACAATAATTACTTTTACAGGAGGGCCTACACCTTACAATCGGTGCTTTTTAGTAGCCCCCCTCCCCCCCCCCCCCCATTTCAATTTCTTGTTTTTTTAATGTATTGTATTGTGTAAATTGATCTATATGTATATTAATATGAAAAAGTGTACCATCATTGTAAATATGAGAAATTGAAAGAGGTCAAATAAATAATTGAATGGAATTGAATTGAATAGAGTCCAAGGGTTCAATACTGTTTGTCTAAATCTGCCACTGACCCCTGCAGGTGTATGCGTTGGAGCATGGAATGGGGTCGTATGGGAAGAAACTTCGCTGTCGTGCCGTTTCAGTTACTAGGGCGCTTTAGTAACGAGACGGAAGGCAAAGAGGACGGGAGAATTCACTCAATCAAGATCAAATAATGTATGCAGTTCAGATTCTGTCTATTGAAATACTATTATTCGTATCAGGTGAATGAAATAACTTGTCCTGAGGCACTTCACAGAGACTTATGCATTTAATTGGGTACATTACGAAAATGGTGTATTGTACGGCGATACAACTCTTCCGTCGAGTTTAGGGAACGAACGCTATTATGGCTGAGAACGGTCGTGAAAATCAACAAGACGGAGATAATTCTGGTTCGCACTTGCGCAGATTGATTATTTTGCTCGGTTACCCTCGTCTTTGCCTTCCGTCATTTTCGTTATGTAACCCAATTCAATGCATAAGTCTTTGTGAAGTGCCTCAATACAAATTATTTCATTCACCTGCTAAGAATAGTAGTATTTCAATAGACAGAATCCGATCTGCATACATTATTTGATCTCGGTTGAGTGAATTCTCCCGTCTTCTTTGCCTTCCGTCTCGTTACTAAAGCGCCCCACTGAAGGCGTGGACCCTATACTGAAACTGTTCATGTGGACGTTACTCCGACTTTGTTACATGGTATAATAACTTTCAACACGTTCAACTTTTCTTTTTTTATAGATTAAACCGATCATTTGAACCTTATATACCTTGAATATCAATCATGGAATCGCCTTGCATTGGAAGTGAAATGGCAGAATGTACCCTTGCAAGTAAAGGGCGAGCTGCTCGTGATGGTGGAAGTCGTACAATTATCTGGTGTGTACCTCGCTCTGTTTCTACGGCTCTCACCAAGTGTCTTAGTTTCATTGAAGGCATCCAAGTGTGGTTCGAACCCTACGCCTACTGCAGAAACACCCGAGTGATTATAAAGCAACAGCTAGACCTTGATTTACCCACCGAATACGAAGGGAATGAAGAGATTTATAAACGGATGACTGATCACTTTAGAGAGACCGGGCAGTCAAACGTAACGAGACAGGAGAACCTTTCGTAAGTTTTCTTTAGATAATGTCCTCGTACACCCCTTCTAGTGGTTTAATGAGTAAAAACTTTTTTTTGGGGGGGGGACAGACAAAAAATGGGGGGGGGGGGGACTAAAGCATTTACGATCAGGTAGAGCAAAGCTAGCGAAACGAGTGGAGCGTTAATTGGCGTGGGGTACCAGGTCCAAAGCCCCGGCGGGAGTCAAGGGTCGGAGCCCCCGGAAGCTCAGGGGTTTTAGGCATAGTAATTACGGTCAGATGGGCAACCAAGGGCCCGCCTTAGGGGTCTTAGAGGGGTCCAGGAGGGAAGAGCACCCGGAAGCTCGACCAGGGGTTTTAGAATTAAATTACGGTCAGATGAGCAACTAGAGGCCCGCCTTAGGGCCCTTGGTTGGGTCCAGGGGGCAAAGCCACCGGAAGCTCAGGGAAAAATCATGTCATTTCAGCAACATTTTAAAATCACTGGTATCGAATTAGAAATAAACCACGTTTGAATTTTATTGCCCCCAACCGTTCGGTAAAGTAAGTTCAATTTGTTGCAGGATGTAGGCCCGATTTAATAAAACAATTACAAATTCCTTTGACACATTTCCTCTAAGCCAATCAAATGCCACGATTTCAGTAGCTTATAACAGTTATTGTAACTTGTTATTGATAGCAAGTTTTATGAATCAGGGCCCTGATAGGCCATGTCCAGGCCCGACGAAAGACTAGTGATGGACAAGCAGGTTTACTTCATACTTTTATACTTTGCCCCGTTCCCCCCCCCCCCCCCCCACTTTTTTTTTTTTTTTTACAGTTATGCATCGATCGGTCGTTTTTTGGACCAGTCAGTAAGCCGTCATGTCTTGGTGAAGGATATGGCTCTCACACCCGATGAGTACAAGTTCCTCCCAAAAGGTTTCAAGCATATCTTCTTAATTCGACATCCTCTCAGAGTGTATAATTCGCTTCGAAAATCAGTATTTGCCCTATTATCAGCCCGAGGGATGTTGAAAGGCGAATCAGCAGTTGAGGAAACGTTCGACATAAGACGCGACTCTCCGTTCCGAAACACAGGTGACTCGTCTCATAAATATGTTTATGACATGTGGAAGTATGTCAAAGAAAATCTAGGCTCTGAAACCATTGTTGTCGACAGTGACGATCTGCTGACGAATCCAGCCGAATTACTACCGAAGATCTGCCGAGCGGCCGGGCTGCCATACGACGAATCGCTCTTGAAGTGGGATGGGTCTTCCGAAGTGACGAAGAGTTGGATGGTTCCTTCGGACTACATCGTCGAGAATATGGTGTACTTCTTCGACAGAGCTATCATGAGCAGCGAATTTCTGCCGGCAAGTAAGATGCCATCACGTGACGACGTTCGACCTGACGTCATTAGATGTACCGATCAGGCTATGAAGTTTTATGACGAAATGTATGAAGTTCGGATCCAGGTCTAAGTAATTCATCCATTATACACCTTGTTCTGAGGTGCTAGCTAGGACACCAGTATGTGTGAATCTATATTAGCAGCCATGGGACAGGGGCGCAAAGTATAAGCCAGTTCATAGATGCATGGGCAGATAAAGGTCATTTGTACCAAAATGGTAAAACCCACAGAGATGAATACTGGATATGCGCTCATGAAAGTTATGTAACATTATTCATTTATGCACCAACGGTACATTCTATGATATGCAGGTGGAAGTATTCTTTTCAAGAGGACAATCAAAGGGTATTCATGAAGCACATCTAGGACTTTGGCAGTTATTATTCTAAGATGCTCAAAGTGGAACTTCTCCATGTGTAAAAGATCTGTGGATATTTGGGGTGATTTATACCATGTGCTATCTGTAAACTCCCTTAGAATGAAGTCATAGTGACTCCACCCATTCAGAAAATTGAAGTGCCCAGACGTTTAGTGACTACATCTTACAAAATCAAATATTCACAACTTTCTTATTTTTTGTCCGATTTCGTAAGAAAAGAAGGAAAATGAAACAAAGCAAAAATATACAGGCAGAAGGAAGATGGCATTTTTTTCTTTCTTTCTTTCTGCCCATTTTTTATTTAGATACTTTCTGAAGAGAAGGAAACAAATCTTTATACGTGACTCTCTATTCTCCTACATTCTCTTATAACAGCGTCATACACCCCCCCCCCCCCCTTCCCGACTGATATCGACTCAAGCATTCATTCTTATAATGGTTGGCCTCTGCATTTATCTAGATTCTTTGATCTATACCTCCATACTTTTAAGTTTTCAATCATGTTAGATACATAGAATAGTAATAGCTTAAGTTGTACCTGTATAATAATTTACATATATATATATAAACAAATTGTTAAATGTTAAGATACTATACTTTAAAGGTACCAGACATGATTAACATTTTATGCTATTTTCTGGACCCTATTATTCATTCGAGATATTTGTAAAACATAGACATACATTTACTATTGTTTTATTACTGTATTTGAACGTTTGGATAATAAAACCTCAACTCAAACTTAAACTCATATAAGTAAATACAATTTTTTTTTTTGTATTTCAGTACATGTTATGTACGTCAATTATATTATATAGGCCTACTACGATTGTTATTTGAATATTTTGTACTTGATTTTTCAATATAATAGAAACATCTGCTTCACAAATAAACAAATACAAAATTGCTGCCTTTGCAGAACGCACACTATTGCCACAAAAACTGCTTTAATTATGAAATTGTATATTTAGTTGTGAATTTAAAAGCACATAATATCAAAGGCTATCAACAGCTACTATTCGAAGTTCGAAAGCACATTTATATGTTTATTCTAATAACATATTTGTTTACAGCCATTTTGGTTCGTGTTACGTGAAGTTCGAAATGTAATTGATGTAGTTTTGGACCTTTGAAGTTTAAACTTGAATGATAGGAGAGAAGGCGTGTGTGTGTGTGTGTATGTGTTTGTAGAGAGAGAGAGAGAGAGAGAGAGAGATGAAAGAGAGCCCATGCCTTGAGCCATAATGCATGGCCGTCCACAGGATTTGTTTATGTTGGGGACCGGGGTAAAATGCAATAAATTATTGAAAATTTATTGCATTTTCTTTGTTTTGTTTTTTTAATTTATGGAAACTGCCCCCTACCCTAGCCCCCGCTGCGTACAGTCATGATTCAGTGACAAAGCAATGGCCTCGTAATTGTGAGGCCCCAGGATCAAAACCGTGTCGATGTCTATATTAGTGCCCTCTTGTGGGGCATTAATCCTCATTACTGTCATTTATGACTTAAGGGCGTAGGTCCCCTAGTTGATAAGCATAGAAGCATAAACATGCTTTAGCAGTCACGCAAAACAAACATTGGCAAATAATTATTCAATAAAATCTGAGAATGTCTACTATTATCTAGATCTATTATTTAAAAATATATATAATTCCATAAATTGGGGTAAAACAAAAATATTCCAACTATATGAACGACAGTGTATTAGTGTGGCTTAACCTATTAGTGTGGCAGATTATTCGTATGACCCGTTCTTGAAGTATCAATGATTTGTCCAACTGGTTAATTAAACGAATTCCCCCATGCAAGTATGCCATAGTTAAGATAAGGCAAGATAAGCGTAGAGTACAAACTTTCCAACATAATATACAGGAAACGACATTTTTAATTTATTGATTATTTCAATGTTCCTTGATCATAGTGTTTTGCTTAAATATAAGTTGTGTTCTTTCCAAGAAAGTTTATTGTCAATGATAAAAACCAAGGAATTTTGACGAATCACCTGAGTTTATAACTGTTTTATTAATGTAAACACTGCTAGGCAATCCCAAAATAGAGTTACTGAAGAGCATACATTGAGTTTTATTTAAATTTAAGGAAAGTTTGTTAGCACAATTCCACTCTTCAACAAGTTTCGGTTCAAGATTGACTGTTTCAAGTAGTGCATTGGGGTTTTGTGTGAGAAAAACACAGAAGAATCATCAGCAAATAATATATACGGCAAAACATTGGACGAGTTTTGAAAGTCATGCATATACAATATAAATAAAAGAGGCCCCAGAAAAGATCCTTGTGGAACACAAATTAACTGTTGAAAGGCTGGGTCTACTCCATTTGTATATACGTATTGTTTCCTACCCCTGAGGTAGCTTTCGAACCACTCCAAGGCTATTCCACGTATACCCTAGTGTGAAAGTTTGTATAGTAGAATTCGATGGTCAAATGATCAGTGTAATTCGATACAAATTTTCGAAAGTAGACCCCAAAGCTTTTTTCTGAATAGTGACAAGGCTATTTTATTCCCCAATCAAATATAATCTGTATTGTGAGATTGATTGTTTCTTTTTATGTATGTAGGCCTATTTATCCTTGTTTTGCGTTAAAAAAAAAAGATTTTTGTTTTACTGAATCAGTTATTGTTATTGTTGTTGTTGTTTTCTAAAATATTTATTCATAATAATCAATGAACAAATTGAAAGAGGAAATATGAATGAATTGAATTGAATTGAATTGAATAGAGTTCAAGGGTTCAATAATGTTTGTCTAAATCTGCCACTGACCCCTGCAGGTGTATGCGTTGGAGCATGTACTGGGGTAGTAAGGGATGAAACTCCACTTTCCGGCCGTTTCAATTGAAAGCGTGAAACCTACTGAAACTAACTACAGGTGTGTTCATTTCATTTCATTTCATTTCATTTTATTTCATTCCTCATATAAAAACATACATGATTATAACATTGGTATTTACAGATAAGTAAAGAACAAACAAATAACATAACGAAAGATAAACACAAAATACAAATATAATACGAATGAGGAACCAGCAAGAGAGAACAATTAGGTCTTGTGTTATTGTGCTGGTCCCTTGCGACATAATAACGAATTTTAACCTATAACACTTAACACCTTACACCTAACACCTAACACCTAACATCTAACACCTGATTGCATATATGTAAAAACTAATAAAATACTATTCAAAAAACGGAATTGTCAGGATCAGGAAATGTCCTTTCGTAGTCATATCACACATTTTCAACAGAGTGTAAGGTGGTACCAATTACGTCAGTGGCGGATCTAGGGGGGCACAGGGGGGCACGTGTCCCCCCCCCCCGGCCAAAAAAATAAAAAATTAGTGATCACTACACCCCCCCCCCCCCCCCCCCCCCCCACTGAGCGAACTTTCGGCCGGCGCAATTTTCAAATTTGCGGGAGCAAACAAAAATAAAAAAAATTGCCCCCCCCCCCCCTCTAAGAATTCCTGGATCCGCGCCTAATGCACACAACGTACTAGGCACCCCTATAATAAGCCTAAATTTTTTATTTTTGTTAAACTGCATTTAAATAGCGAGAATTTCGTTTGCAAGGATATTTTCATTTTGACCCTCGAGTTGTAAAATGAGGGGCGGCCGTCTCATTGAGTCCCTCATTATGGGATGATCCTGATACCCAGAATCATAATTTATTGATTCTTACTGTGGTACGACCCTCTTCTGGGGTATGAGAGTACAACACATTTACATGTCATGATAATGATACATAATAAAGAATACAAACATAGTCAGCGCTCAAAATACACGGGGGCGGTGGGCGATTCGCCCCCGTGAGCTACATAATCGCCCCCGTCAGGTTGCTCACGGGGGCGATTGCAAAATTAAAAATCGCCCCGGTGGAATTATAAAATAAAGATTTTCTTTTCTGTTATAACTTTAACACAATATTGAGTTTCAATTTTCAAATGAAATGGAACTTAGATTAGCGTGCAAGATTTCTTGTTTTATGAGTAGGCCTATTATTACCGATTCAGCTCACAGTGCAGTGCCGCCGTCAGCAGTGGTTATAGGCCTACTGCGCCCTTAGTAGCGGTACGTGTGCACGCTGCCGCGCTATGTCTGCTGGAGCTGGAGGCGATCGCGCAAGGGCAGAAACATGGTCATGGAGAAGTTTTTCGTTGTGAAAGCGTTAACCTGCTAAAATCTGGTGATTTCAAATGACTAGCAAATAATGAACCTCGACCAGTAAATCAATATTAGGGACCTTTAGATTTGCACGATGGGAACGTGGACTGAAACGTGTGACCTCCTTTTAAGGCAGTGCCAGTGCTTAAAAGGACGTCACATGTGACTGCCAGTGCCTTAAAAGGACGTAACACGTCCACGTCCACGCAAATCTAAAAGTCCCTATTGGGAAGAAGAGGAAGACCAAGATGTCGTGGAATGATATGGTAACATGGGCAGATCTACGGGGTGGGGGGTTAGGGGTTTAACCCCCTCCTCCCACCCCCGGCCCCCTTGGGCTGCCAAGTGAAAATGTGATATTAAAGCGGGGGGGGGGGATGCTGGAGAGGAGGACTACTAATCTATTTTATTTTTTTCATTGGGGGGGGGGGGGGGGGGGGAGTGAAGCGCCGTTTTAGCATGACTTTCTTTTTAACTCTTACTTTCACCTATCTCAGATAACCCTAAGTTTTTGGTTGCTGCTTTATATGTATTTGATAATGCATGATTAAAGTAAAGAGAGAGAGAGAGAGAGAGAGAGAGAGCCACCATCATTTTGCAATGGTTCAGGGTTCGTGTAATGTACATTTGAAACCATTTCTTAGCGTCTCAACCCTAACAAAATGGCAAAACTATTTTTGA